ATTTAATGGTTTAAGTCTTCATAAAATTAATTATGTTGGACCTGACAATCAGCCCACCATTTCAGAAACTCTTCTTTTGTTTGGAACTAAAAAAAAAAGAACTTATATAATTGAGAGCATGAACATGCAAACTCTTACATTATTTTATGCACGCGTATGTACACTCTCTTTTATATATTATGTGACACTCGTCAATTTTTTATACAAAGAGAGTTAACATATTATTGCTATTAGCCTATTATTAAGTAATTACATTAACATATTATTGCCATTAGCCTATTATTGTTCATGTTAATTGGTGTTTTAGTTAGTGTTATAATCCCCAAAAATATGGCATTTTAGTGTTTAATTTTGCTTAGTTTATTAGTGTTAAAACAAAAATTAAGTTGGTATAACTTGTTCATATATATCAGTTCGAGATCTACAGCAGAGATTGCGTTGAGAATTCTACCAATTAGAACAAAAAAAATATGAAATCTACCCATGAGGTGCATACATGATCAATGTTCGAAGATTTTGAAATCCAATAATTAATTTAAGCATCTTTTCTTGAAAACGAAAAGAGAGAGAAAATCATAAATACAGCCATGCCAGCCAGCTAGTCCTACGATCTTGAATTTCGCCAATAAAAAGAGCTAGGATGTAGATTGCAAGGGCACATGTTAATATATATTTATAGTCACACACCGTCATACATATCTTCTTCTGTTTTTTTTTTGGCTAAGCATGACAGCGAAGAAATTCTATCTATAGAAATAGAAATCAAAATCCTAATTCAAGCACGATCCAAAATCGTACCTTGAAAGAAAAAAAGAAACATAATGGGATTGGTATGGGGCAGAACAATGATGAAATTTTGATTATCCAGACTGTCCATGTGTGCAATTTCTACAAGTTGTCAAGCTCTAATTCTTATCTTTGCATGGCAGAATGTATATACATTTATAAAGTGCCTTATCAATTAAAAAACAAAAAAATTTGGAAAACAAATGTGCTTATCATTGCCATGAATTAAACAAAAATTCATTCGAATATATTTTTAATAAAATTATTAAATAAATTGATAATAAATTTTTTTAATTTCGTAAACGAGTTTAATATAAGAACTCATATCTCTTAGTATAAATTTAAATATCGAATCTATTAAATATTATATCTTAAAAATAATTATATAAATAAATTAAATTAAATATCACATCATTTTCCTTTTATTTTTGTGATCAATATTATTATCGAATGGATATCATATCATTTTCCTTTATCTTTATCAATACTATTGTCGAATGGATAAACTCCCAAACTTCTTTATCTTATCTTGTACATTCTGGAAGATGTATATATATATATATATATATATATATATATATATACACTAAAGTTTTTCCTTCTAATTGCCTAAAATGGAGCTTTCATTAAAGTTTCAGTTCCTTTGCTTTTGAAGTCTTTTTCTATATTTATTATGGTTCTATTATTATCTCCCTTCTATCTCTTTCTTATGGCTAGATTTTCGTTTTGACTTGGTCGTTATATTGAAGAGGAAATGCCAACATGGATATCCAATCGTCTTTGTTTTTTCTTTTTGGCAAAAAAAAAAAATTCTTTCTCATTTTTGAGTGGTATAATAGTTTTTATTTTTCTCTATTACTTTTCTACTTATAAAATCTTAACTTTAATTTCAAGAATAGATAAGAAAATTCATATGTATTGCAAATTATACATTAGTAAGAATAGAGTAATTGTCAGTGATCATATAATCAATCCTCATGTTGAAAATTTTGGCTTCAAAGCATGACTTGTTTTACCTGTGAATACGTACGAAGGGCCTAACCATGAAGCAGTCAATTGGCATTTCCATGAAGAATTCTTGTTTCCTTATCCAAACTTTTTTAATTGATGTAACAACTGGATTTTTGAAGAGCCTAGACTCCAAAAAAAAAAAAAAAAAAAAACAAAAACAAAAATCTTATTATGATAGCAAAAAAAAATTAAAACACAATAAATTATTGAATATCCCCTTTTTTTTAAGCAATAATATGGATTTATTTCTAAAAAACTACACTTCAAAACTATTCATTTATTGCAAACAGTTGAGAAAAAATTATTCATTTGAACTTAAAATTTAACTCAATTAATTCTATTTTATGTAATCACTCTTAAGAATTTACATTCAATAAATTAAGAATTCAAATATCAAAATTTATAATTTTTTTATTCTCAAATCGCATAAAAAATATTCATTTTATTTATTCACTCACTCATTTAATACAAAAAATACATTGATATGAGATTAAACATTAAGTTATATATCTTGGTTTTGATAAAATTTTCACATGCATGACTATTGTTCTTATATTCTTTCTTTCTTTTTTTTTTTTTTGAATATCATGCAAGGTGATTCATATAGAATTAATTACCCATTAAAAAGTAGTCACTAAAAGACAAGAAAATTAACAAAAGTCATTTCTTCATTATTCAAGTTTCATACCTTAATAATTAAAACACAGAGTTGAACAGACCAATCCCCAATCCAATTGAATTAAAAATTCAAAGAGAATACCATTAATAGTAACTCAATAACGTCTGCTGTGGAAATAATTTAATGATACACGTCAGAATTATGTGGCGTATAGAAAGGGTTGTTAAAGTTGACATAAAATGTAAACTTTTTTATTCTTTACCCAAAAAAAGAAAAAAAAAAAGAAAGAAAATGATTGACAATGAAACCCTTAAAAAAAAAAAAAGGAAAGGCAATAAGAGATTTTAATATTGAAAGAAAAGAAAAAAAAAGGAAAAACTTTGTTGGGTGGGAAAGGTCCAACGGGATCCTTCTCTAGCATGACTAATTGAAAGCTATTTATTAATCTATTTGTTTTTGTTATTGTGGGTCCGATGGTGCTGAGTCATGCCTTGTAAATGGTCCCAATTTCAATCTGGTTCGCGTGCGGCGACACGTTCCAGTTGCGTGTGTAACAACCAAGAACATGACATTCTAGGATACCAACGAAGGTTGTGCTTTTATAACCTATAAAATCTTCCTTAGAATATGTCAATTATTTGGGATTGTTTAACGGCAATTATGTTAGAGAGTACCAGGGCTGTGCTTGAGGGGCTGGCACGGCTTACGACCTTCCAAAAATATTTTACCTCATTTTTTATATAATAATAAATCTCATTTAATTACTATTTTGGTTTTTTTTCTTTGAAATTATCGTTTAGTTTCTTTTTTCATCAAAATTTTTTCCTTTGTCTTATAGACCAATTTCATAAATTTTAATTGATCAAATTCTTTTTCTTTTATGTCTTGATTTTTTTTTTGTAAGAAAGCTAATATGTCACTGATGACTACATGTTGCCAATTGTTTAATTTCTTTACAATGACTTCGGAATCTTGAATTATTGTCACCCACAAGTACGAAAGTCTTAAAATGAACAATGCCAATTTTTGTTTCTTGATTTGCTTGAAATTTTATATTTAATTTTTTTTCGATAAAAAATATATGATAAAAATGTCAATTGGACAATTTGGATCTATAATTTAGTACAAGGAAATTAACAAATATTAATCCAATTTAATCTTTATTTATTAAAATTCAATTCAAAATAAAAATGAAATACGTTTCAATATTTTAACACGGTTTATGAAATTAAAAATTTATACATCAAATAGAGTTTAAATAAATTAGAGTATATGTTAGTGTATCATTGAAGGTGAAACAAAATTTTCAAAGATTTAGACATACAAAAACTTGCACTCCATTGAAGATGTAGGAATTAATGATATTATTCATTATGGTTATCGAGGTTGAAGACTGCAGCACGCAAAAAATCTCAAAGGTTTGAATTGAAAGGGCGGTGGTGGGCTGTAATGAAACAGCTAAAACAAAATCACTAACTAAATAACAAATACAAGTGGTAGAACAAAGAACGAATAGCATGTTTTGTTTAATCTTAACCAGAAAGAGTTCCTGATTAATGATGATTTCCTTCAATAAAAGCAAAAAATTTTAAAAAAATGCGACGACCAGACACTGTTCATGTTGCATATATAAATTCGATTCTTTCCACTAATGTCTTTGTGAATTGCAGAATATCTCGTAAAATCATGCCAGGTCTCTAATTATCACGTGATTTTCAGTCAATTTTTCTTCATGTCTTCATCTGGGGTTCGATATAATTCATATTTATATTTATTTTCTATTTTTCTCCTTTTAAATTTCCCATGAGCCACAAAAACATCGGTGAGATCTTCTAAGATGTGTTCATAATCATAAGATATATGTAGCTAAAGGAGGCGTAGAGCAATAAACATGACACCACCTTAATCTTCCTAGTCTGTCTCTTCTAAACCTGTTATCGATGCCTGTAGATCATCAATGTATTGAGTTGAATGAGTGCTCGCCTGTTATGAGCCTACTTGAAATACTGAAATTTGTACTAATACGTGCATCTATGTCTTGTTGCCGCAAACTGAACTAACAATTTTAGACCAAAAAATTTTTATGAATAATCTGCAGAGTGTAATCTATTATAGTAGTATCATTCTCTTGACTGTTTTATCTTTTTCTGAAATGGAAATTGCTACATTTTAAGTTGTGAATGAAATAAAAATGGATGAGGCTAATTGTTGGCTTCTGGTTAAAGGACATTTGATTGATGATCTGAATCTAACTACACTACTTATTCCAGGCATTGCTCCTTCATTATATCAGAACAGAGAAGTGAAACTATTTATACTCTTTTGATATCCTTTCTGTGATTAATTAATCCACAGTAGGATTACAGGAAGTTCCTGAGTTTCAGCTATAGCTTTATTTTAATTCAGATTAATCTTTATAAAGTTAATGGTATTGATACTTTTCCAATATTTGTCATGTGATACAAATTTAATTTTACATTCCTAAAAATGGGTTAAAAGTTTTAAAAAAAAGAAAAAAAGATCATAAATATGTCAGTTTTAAAACTTCTTTCTTCTAATAAAAGTCAATAGAGTAACCATCTATACTTGGTCATGTTTTTCTTTAATTGTATCAAACAAACACTCTTTCATGACAGTTAAACCAATGGGAATCTGGCAAACAGGTGCACTATCCCTCTGTAACTCTGTTACTACATAAAATCAACAGCAAACATCTAATAGCTCTCTTTTGATATGTAAAATTGTTGGTAAATATAAATGGTTAATGTCAACCAGAAAATAAGATTGCAGCTAAGCTGCTATTTTAAGCCTGATGATTAACATCACAACAATTTCTTTAGTTTCATTCTTGTATTCTCAAAATCTAAGAATTAATCCTTGCACTGTCTTTCTTTTTTTCTTTTTAGTGCATTTCCTTTCTCTAAACCAACCTTGGCCTCCATCAGCAATGAACGGAGCCCCAGCACATGATTCACACGGCAATGAAACGGTTACGTTTTGCATTGTTTTACCGCCCAAGGTGAATTCAACCGGTGTCTGGGAGAACACTTCTTCTCAATCGGTAATTCTCAATTATTCATTGCCACTTCTGGAGTTGCAGATGCTCCTGATTTTCTTGGTCACTCATGTCATTTATTCCTTTCTCGAGCCTCTTGGAATCCCCCTCTTTGCCTCACAAATGGTTGTATGTGCTCTTTCCCTATATCTTCTTGCTTTTTTCTTACCTTTTATGGGTCCATAAAATGAGTGGCAACTCTTATTTAAGGTCTCAACTGAATATAACTGAGACCCAGTCTTAAAAATAATAATAATAATAAAAGTATGTACTTTATTGTGACATTATGTATTGATTTGTGATTAACTATTTGTTTTGCAACTAGGCCGGGATGATCCTCGGACCTGCAATGCTGGGGCAAATAGATGAATTCAAAGTAATTTTGTTTCCTCCTGACTTTGGTGTAGGAATAATTGATACTACAGCAATATTTGGTTTTGCCATATTTTTGTTTCTGATGGGAGTGAAAATGGACGTGAAGGTGGCATTCAGGACAACAAGAAGTGCCAAGGTGATTGGCCTTTTATCCCTTTTAGCACCTACTTTGGTTGGTTGCCTTGTCCGTGAGGTCTTCAAAGAGCCTAATCAAACTGAAGAAATAAGAATTGAACGCCTAGTTGGAACAACAATTGAATCTCTGACTTCACTTTCGGTCATTGCATGCCTTCTGAGTGAGCTCAAGATCTTAAATTCAGAACTGCGACGATTGGCTCTATCATCTGCGGTTCTTGGTGACTTGAGAAGCTTATTTCTAGTAGTCGTCATTGTTTTCTCAAAAAATTGGAGTAAATCCCATTCAGTGGCTCTAACAAATGCTGGAGCTATGGTTGATTTTATAATTGTTCTAGTGTTTGTTCTTCGTCCATTGATGGTTTGGATAGTTAGAGAAACACCTGAAGGCAGACCAATCAAGGAAGTTTACATTTTCGCCATCATGTTGATAGCTTTAGGGTCTTCTATGTATACACATTGTTTCAATCAATCTCCTTTGTTCGGGGCATTTCTCTTTGGTTTAGCTGTCCCGGATGGACCACCACTAGGATCTGCCCTGGTAGACAAGTTTGAATGCTTTGTTTCTGGTGTCTTTCTGACACTCTATGTAACCACAGCTACAATGAGAGCTGATCCAGGGAAGATGTTTTGTGATCCCACTAGACTCAAATTTAGTGCAATTCTTGTTGTAACGACATTTCTGGCCAAATTTATAGCATGTTTGATACCTTCATTTTTTGGCAAGATGCCGTTCAAAGATTCCTTGGCTTTTGCTCTCATTATGACCAGTAAAGGCATTGTGGAGTTGTCACATTTATCCACTTACAAAGACAGAAAGGTAACCTAGATGAAAATGAGTTCAATGTCCAAACCTATTCCCTCTGATGACGTGATCAATAATTTTCTTTTTTTTTTTTTTATAATGTTTGTGTCTTCTTCCCCGATCAAATTGCAGGTTATTGCAGATGCAACTTTTTATAGTCCCAATCCTAGTGAAATCCCTCTACGACTCATTGTCAAGAAAATATGCAGGCTACCTGAAAAGAAACATAATGCATTTAACGCCCAATGCTGAGCTACGAGTTCTTGCTTGTGTTCACAGACCTGAAAATTTTGCTGGCTTCATAGACTTGCTTAATGCCACATGCCCCACAATCGAGAGCCCTAATGTTGTTTATGTCCTTCATCTGGTTGAACTAATGGGCCGTGCCACTCCGGTCTTCACAGCTCACTAGAAGCAAGAACAAGAGTTGGGAGCTCTTTTGAAAATTTCATTCTTGCTTTCAATCAATATGAGCAAAACAATTGGGGTTTGGTGACCGTCAACGCGTTCACAGCAATCTCTCCACCTAACCTCATGCATGACGATATCTGCACTATGGCTCTGGACAAGCAAACATCCTTAATTCTTCTTCCATTCCATAGAAAAAGGTCCATTGACGGATCTCTTGAAGCTGAACACAATGTCATAAGGAACCTAAATTGTAGCGTCCTGGAAAGATCACCTTGCTCGATCAGTATCCTGGTGGACCGTGGTGCTCTAGACCGTCGGATCTCGAGGACATCATTAAAGTCATCAAGGTCATTCTATTGCATTTGCATGATCTTCTTTGGCGGCAAAGATGATCGGGAGGCTTTAACATTAGCCAAACGCATGGCGAAAGACCCTACAGTGAACCTAACCGTGATCCATCTCGTTGCTGAAGTCAGCAGAAATGTCCTAGACTGGGACATGATGCTTGATGCTGAGGAGTTGAAGAATATTAAGCAACGTGAAGGTGGTGATGGGAAGATGACATATATGGAGGAAGTTGTGAAAGATGGACCTCAAGCCGCGCTCGTTGTTAGATCAATAGCGGATGGCTATAATCTGATAATAGTTGGCAGACGCTATGGGGTGGAATCTGTTCAAACGTCAGGTTTATCAGAATGGAGTGAATTTCCTGAGCTAGGGATCATCGGAGACCTCCTTGCATCCACGGATTTGGAGCGCAGGTCATCTGTGTTAGTAACGCAACAACAGCACTATTTCAATCGTTCAAGAACTGCTTTGCATGTATCACTACTTATATCTATTTTATTAGTCACCCATGGTCAATCTCAACCTATTCTTCATTGTTCTGGCCTTGTTTCACATCCAACCTCTTACAAGGTCATCCCCCGCCCCTCTTTCACTACTTTTACAAATTTGGCAAGCAAAAAAATTAAGAATAAATATATAGATGCGTTTAAAATACACGGTTAAACTAAAAAAATTACAGTGAGGACAGTAAATTTTTTCTTAAACTCAATCCTAGTTATATAATACTACCGAAAAGGTTTTTTAATATCTCAGCGGCAGGCAGCTGCCCCATTATAAATCTGTGTCTGCCCATTTACAACTTTTTGTTTTTTGAAGCCCCCCTATTTTCACCCTTTTTTTTAATGGTGGAATAAGTGAACAGGGGATAAGACAAGCTTCTAGTTGTTGATTTCGGGCAAGTAGCATGTCTACAACCATGAAACTCTTTCACCATGACGTAGCTAGTTCCCCAAGATGCAAAAGCAGGTGCATGCATGAGATTTTGAAGTTGCTCCACCATATTTTGTAGAGTTCTACTAAAGTCAACACAGCATGCTTGAAGCCAAGACCAATCCAACCACAAGCTGCAATAACACCACAAATCAAGTTGTATCACTTAACTGCAGTCAATTTATGTAGCATGTAATAAACAAAACAGCAAAAAATGGTACATGATAACTTTTCGTAACAATTGGAATGACATAGAAGAATAGAAACAATTTCAATACCTTCCCTAGCATTTTAGTTCACATTATACAGAAACAAGTTACAGGGAAAGATAGCTGATGGCATAAGCTGTAAAACATCAGTATTTATCTTAAGCCATCAAAATATCTCCCTGTTTAATTCACCATCCATCCCTAATCATCCACCACAACCATGCATATTGTACACTATTCATACAAGTTTGCAAGCCTGTTCATAAAAGCACTACTCCTAATCGCAGTGATGACATCTATAGGATTACTTTGATTTGTACAGCATCAACATAAAGTACTAGTATTTTAGTGGATTCACGCATTGAAAGAACCAAACTTGGTCTAGTTATTCTAATGAAGATCAAGTTAGATGTGCAAAGTTGCATATATATTTATATTTATATATATATATATATATTTGAAAATAAGATGTCCGAAGATGGGTAAGCCAGGACATAGAGAACATATACATCACACCAGGAAGCTCCAGTTGAAGCACCAGATACCTAGGGTTCCAAGTTACATGTTTAATAGGAAGCCCAACTATTTGAGAAGGATAACAAACATCCATTTAAAATGAAGGTCGTAAAATAAATACCTGAAAATGACTAAACATTCTCGATTCACCTCTGCCTTCTTATCAACTTTCACCAATTACCATATGCACCATGATGGTAATACAGAGATATCCTTGTCCTGCAAATACATCTCTGAACGTAAGTTTCATACACTTAGTTGAGATCATTCTGGATGAGGAGAGTAAGAGATACCGCTATACTACATATTAAGCTCTGACCTTAGTCTTCAATTATAACTTAAGAACGTTTACACCAAATAAAATTTTCTCTAAGTAGGGTGAAATTGAAATTTGAAACATCAACCAGCTATAAAGCCATTGAGGTTCTAAATTGAGCCTCACCTAACTCCATTAACAGCAACATCTTACATCACGAAAGTAGTAATAAATTTTCATTCACACCCATTTTTATTAATGTGCTTTCTAAAATTGCACTATGATGCTTCAGAAAAATTAGCTCAAAAATAAAGAAACTCCGAGAATCTTTCTTTAGGAAAGAAGTGCATGAAGTGAAATAGAGGATGCGAACAATAGACACTTCAAAGATAAATGTAAAATTTGACAAATTATAAATTAAAAAAAAAAAAAACACTAACAACTTATTAATGCCTGAACCTCACCTGACTCTAGATAGAGCTGGTCATACAACTCTGCCTCTGCAGACTCTTCATTTGTGTAAATTTCCATTTTAGCCAATTCTAGGTTCTGTGGCTTCAACTATTTTTAAAATCCCTCATTGAGACCACTTCCTTTGGACATAAGCTGCAATGTTGTGCCCCTAACAATCCAACCAGTTCCTTCAGGTTTATCTTCAAAGGGGTTAAGAGAATGCACGCTTTGGTCCTCCAGTTGTACACCATATACAAATGGTAGTCTCAGTACAAGAAAACTCTCTGGTGGTAAGATCACTTTACATCCAAGGCTGAACTGCAACTTTTGTTCGCGGTCTGGAACTGACAAGGGTAAGCACGATGCCTGTAATAGAATTCTTACTTTGATTTAGAGAAAGCAATAGCACCAATAACACTCATTGCTTAGTAAGAGCATATTTAAGCATAAGACACTCTCATTCCCATTACAAATCAAAAAATAATAGCAGCTACCAAAATTGTTATCTTCAAGTTACTATCACATCAATAAGGGAAAATCAGAAGACAACATAAAAATGGCCTAAGAGCCCCAGCAAAAATCCCCACGCACATAAGGTTTACCAGTAGTAATTAAAACATCATTTTAATATCATACATTGCAGAAAGTAAAACTTATGCATGAGAAAGTGAGATATACCTCAAATCGTATAACTGGACAAGTTGCCAGAACAACAGGAAAGGGAGGTGTGACCTGGAAGCAGATTCTACTCATCAGGTATCTTCTATTTGTAGGCAAAATAAGAAAATTGTGACAGAAGAAACTTGCTATCAATTAGGCATAGCATTCTTAAGTTCCAAAATTATCATACACCATGATCATTGCCAGAAAATGAATTACGTATTGCATAAAGCACAATAGTGAAAATATAGTACTTACAAGCCCTCCAAATGATCCACTCCACTTATCAAACCATCAACAAATAAGATTTGAGCTCTGTTCTTCCTATTTTAGTTTCCGACACACATACACTATGGACAACTTTACAAGTTTCAAGGGGTAAATTCAGTAAACAGGGACTTTCTTGCTTTCTTTCTTTCCTTCTTTTTTTTCCAGACAATAACCTTACTTTCCAGACATCGTATCAATTTTAATGCAGAAAATGGTACACCAATAGAGAAACTATCATTGGGCAATGAATGGACAAAAAAATGGTAAATGCTTCAAGATGACAAAAATCTACCGAGATATATAAACAAAAGAAAAGCATTTGCATCTACCATTTAACAAACAAAGATACCTCTTGGTACAGCTACCAATTACATAAACCTAAATGTAACCAGAAGCACTTATTTTGTAGCCTAAATGATGATACTATAAACTTTCATAGATTATGTCACTAAACCCTAAAGTATTCACTACAGAATTCACAAGTTTTAAGCATCTAAAAATCTGTTTCAGATACAAAATTTATTACTTGGATAGATAGAACCTATAAATATGAAGACTATCCTTATTCAAATGTATTTGCATCTACAATTTAACAACCAAAGATACCTCTCAGAACAGCATACCAATTACATAAACCTAAATGTAAACAGAGGCATCTATTCTGTAGCCTAAATGATGATAATATAAATTTTCATAGATTATGTCACTAAACATTAAAGTATTCACTATGTCAGAATGCACAAGTTTTAAGCATCTAAAAATCTGTTTCGGGTAGAAAATTGATTACTTGGGTAGATAGAACCTATAAATATATGAAAGCTATCCCGATTCAAATGTCAAGAGTCCCTTCCTATTCATGTTTTAAGTAAAGGACAAAGCACACATTCTGAGAAGACAAATAGGCATGGAATTAATAAGGTCATTCAATTGACAAACTACTTGTCAAACAAGTTGAAGAAAGTTTAAAGCAATGTGTGGATAAGAGTTTGTAATATTTCATACCAGAAAAATTCTCTGAAGCTGTGATATTGAGCTAGCAAACTTAACCTTAGGCGGATCCTTTTTATTCCTGGCAGACCTGCAGTATGGACAGTTCATGTATATTGGTAAATCTCTATTCAACATGGAGAAAGGGGATCCACCATCATCAAGGCTAACAGAATGAAAGCCTGTTTCAAGGTCTTTTATAGCGACAGGCACACCTGCCACACTCACAAATGTCTGATCATGGTCCTTTTCAGGCATAGAAAGTTGTGTCGGCCCATCTTTAAAGACATTACCATTTGCCACTACCTGTTTTTCCTTGTCCTTGTTTTTCATCTTATTTAAAGGATTAGCAGCAGCAATAGTGCCATTTGTATTCCGATCAACTTTACCCTGACCGCCAGTCTTTCCCACCTTTGAAGAATCTGCCAACAAGTAGTCTGAAGTTTCCACAGAGCAAGCAATTTGAGATTCTTCAAATGATGAATATGGGGACCCAAGTTGGCTGAGATGCTCTGGGTTCAATAAGAAACGGTGGCCATGAGGGCATTCGTGCTCAAAACCAACATATGCCATCACATGCTTGATGTCAGGATTCAATTTTGCCTTTTCATCATTGCTCACATTCACAGGAACAACATAACTGCCTATCTGTAAAAAGGGATTATTATCTGTGCTGCCATCAGAACTTACTCGATTTAAGCTTTGCTGAACAGATGAAACCTGTATGAGTTTTTTAGATCCTTGATCAACACTTGAATGAACCCCTTCCAAAATCTGATCACTTGCCTTATTTTTCTTCATTCCTTTTTCTGACCCTGATGAAGGTTGTTTCCTCTGCTGAAGAGGAGGGAATCCTGAATCTGTAGCAGCTGAGCCAGCAACAACCTCTGAAAAGGGTTTTTTCATAGTGAAATTGGGAAGGCCTCTACCAAAACTGATATTGTTACCATTGAACTTGCTGATTTGCAAGGGTTTTCTTGGATTTTCAACAGCACTCTGTATTTCTCCACAGCAGAACTCTGAGGCACTAGCCTTCTTTAGCTGACCATCAGCATTAAACTCAGCCTTGGGATCTGTACTTGACCTACCCATAGAACTTAGTTGCATAGTTCTTCCTGATAAGACATTAGGGGGTTTCTGTTTCTCTAAAAATATTGTCCACTTTAAAAGAAACTTCTCAGTGGTACTGAACCCACTCTGAAGTAAGCCTTTAGAAGGTTCATAGTACCTTGCACTGGCAATACGAATCAAACTCCAGGAAGACGGCTGAATTGGTCCTTTGCTGCATACTTCTGGTAGCTGGAGCATTGAAAGAAGCTTTTCGCAGTCAGGAAAGCAATTGGAAGTAATGTTTGCCGATTCAAAATCAAACGGGTCAGATTGCAATTGCCGTGTCCGACCACAAGCGCAGGCATGAAGAAAGACATATCCACTTGAATGAGATTTCACCAAAGTTCCTGAAGGCAACCCATCAGTCTCAACATCATGTCTTTGGTGCATACATGGTTTTCCTGTCAAACTAACAGCATCACAAAGTTGCCTTCCAGATTTCCACATTGATGTGCATTCTTCCTCCAGCTTCTTTGCAAACAGTTGCACTGCAGGTCCCCTGACCATTGAGTGAAAAGCACGCAAAGCCTTTTCCAAATGAGCTTCGTGCTGTGATGTAGGATAAAAAGCAGGTAAGTCTTTCAAATAAATATCTTTTGCAGCTGGAAGGGTCCTTTCACACCACAAACTAGAAAACTTTGTGTTAAGCCCTTTACCACTTTCCAACCAAGATACTGCAAAATCTAGAGATTCACTGCTTCTAGAAGCAATCCCTTCAGTCTGTCCAGTAATGGTATTTCGGCAAGGTTTTCTTTTACCCATTTCAGTTTCATCTATACACCCACGCTTCGCCGAGAGTAGTCCATGTAGAATAAGCTGACTGGAAGTCAACCATATATCTAAAGTTGGGAGTTCAAGCGTAATCAATGTCTTCCCAGAGGCAGCTGAGGCGGCAGCAGCAGCAGCAGCAACAGCCACCATACCAACACCAGCAGCAGGGCCACTGTTGGTGTTAGCAACCAATCCCCCTCTTCCCCTCAAAATATCTGACTGCCTGTATATAAAATCCTTCAAAGATGATAGATCCTCTTTGTTTGAACTATGACCATGAGTTTCAAGCAAAAACGAATCCGAAGTTGCTTTTCCATTCAAAACATCTTCCATAAGACCAGTGGCAAACTCCAGAGATTCGCCAAGCTGATTTGTTGACTTGTCTAGCAGCACAACAGACCTGGATGCATCAAGTGAAAACAGAGGGGCTGAATTTGAAACACCTGCACTTCTTGAACCACTGTGGCTACCTTCTGAACCTGAGAGTGTTCGACATTTCTTAATTAAAAAACGGATCTGTGCCTCTAGGGATAACTGCAGTTTCTTCTGGAAACCACCTTCAGATTTACTTACAGGACGTGCTAACACTACTACCGAGGAAGAACCTTTCATGGGAAAGGTTGGCCTAGCTAAACTGCTTGAACTAGAAGCATGGTTAAGTGAGGACGTCTCTACCGACTCCTCAATATTAGAAGTCAAATTTGGTACATCAGAGAAATCATCAATAAAAACAAATAGTGTCACTGGGGTACATTGCCCAGGAAACAAAGAAGTATAGGAACCTAAACCTGACAAGAGAGAGATAGCTGAAGCATTGCGACCCAACATGCCACCACTTCTACCTGGAGAAGTGCTGGCAGTGATTACTTTTGTTGAAGACCGAGAAGGTGAGGAAGAATGAGGCCTCAGTGGCAATGGTGGTGTTGTTCGAGATTTTACATATGGGATTAGTGCATGCTTAGCTGCTTGCAACACCCGGAATTTTTTCAAATTTTGAGTATCAAAACGTGAACCCTCCTGAATATATATGATTATATGGCAGACCTGCAATGCTAATTGAGTTAATCAATAGATATATCTGCGATTAACCAAGCATTCTATAACATGCGTTCTTAAGGGCTTTTAATATGGTTGGAGGTTTTCCATTGCTTCTAGTCTGATTGATTGTACCATGTAACAGAAAATGACAAAGAAATAGACCTCAACATACTAAACTAAGATAAAAGTTCACCACTTAAATGCAGGGTAATCAACATACTGATAAAGCAATGCCACCACAAAGTTTCCTTTTTTGGTTATTATAACTTTCCTCATGCTCTCAAATTTATGCTCTCAACTCAGAATCAAGGAACATTTCAAGATTATGCCAATCAATAAACATTTACTACAAAATAATTTACAAAAGAGAAAAAAATCCATTCCACCTGACATATGTACATACTCCAAAGCAAGCTTATCTTATATTTTGTTAAATTCATCAAATGTAGCTCTACTCAATACCAAAGTCAAATTTTAAATTAAAAACTGATATATCTAACTAAATTAAATAAACCAATATAGAAAAAAACTAAAACCATTAAAAAAATGAATAAAAAACTTACAGAAAACATAAAAAGCAAGCCTTGAAGATCACCGAACTCGCGTTCCTCCAAAACCCCACCAAAATCCAAACTTGAACCCAATGACCCATCAAAAACTGGGCACCCATTTGAACAAAACTGCAAGAACAAAATCCCTTTATCTTCGTCATGATAGTAACTAATTCTTCTATGCTTGAACCAATCCTTGAGTTCATCTTTGTCAAGGGACAAAACCAGGTCCATTTGACCTGACCCGAACACATTAAAGTCTATAACCCTGTTAATGAGCTGGGAAGAATCGTCGGGTCTCCGAGATATGAAGCCCACCACCACGACGCCGTCGAGAGAGCGGGGGAGTGAAGGCGAGGAGGGCGGTAACGGAGGGGTAGGGTCCGAAGTGGAAGTGGGTATAGGTGAAGGAGGTGGGCGGGTCAGGACCCGCATTGAAGGCGGCTGAGGAGAGTCCATTTGATTGAGAAAGGGAAAACCAAACGGGCAATTATTTGGGTCGGATTTGTTCGACTGCCATTGAGAGAAACTAAAAGAAAGAGAAAGGGCTGTTTCCGTTTTGGTGGCTTCGGGTAAACGAGCAAGACAGCCCCCGGCTAGCTTTCATTTTTTTTCTAATAAATTTTGTTAAGAGGTCTTCGCTTTTGTTTTCATAAATATAGTATTTTTTTATTATAGGATATATTATTATGTATTTAATAAAACAAATATAAGATTCAAAAATTCCAATAGCTCTTAGTGATACGAAATAATAGTGATAAATTATTTTTTATTTGATTTTAATTCAGATTGAATATTAAATATTTTAATTTATTTGTATCCATTTTTGAATCATTAATTGAAAATTTTGGGCCTTTTCCTCTAAGTGTCTAAGCCCCCCCAATGAGTAAATGTATTGTAGTAGCCTTCTCAGGCCGTTTATCTTTCTTTATTTGGGCCTAAAGCTGTATATCTTTCTTCAGTTCCTGGGTAAAAAAGGGGCGGAGGCCCCTTGGGAGACCTGCTCTGTCCAAAGCCTTCCCCTCCTCCTTTGCACTTCACTATTTGGGGGCGCTCTTTCATATTAAAGAATTATTTGATATACAGATAATTTTAGCAACGAGATTAAGATTAAAACATATATCTTATTTTTTAAATTAATTTTTTAAAATATATAAAAGACATGAGTCATCATTTTAATCTCATTTATAGAGTTAAAAAATTTATTATCAGTATATTTGAAAATTTTTCATTAATATTTGGTTTAATAATTAATATGACATTTTTATTAAAATAACAGCGTTTTTGAGTATTTAATTTAATAATTGATGTATTAATTTTTTTATATTAAAAAAATCACTTAATTTATGGTAGAAAAAAAATAAAAACACAATGGGCTAGGGCCCAGATTCAAGTTCCAAAACCTAAAACCTACATGGGATTTATTTTTGTTTTTTCTTTTCTTCTCTTAGGAGCATAAAGTTGGATAACATTACATCATTTTTCACAAGGTGTACTAACTCCAAAAATCCTTTTTGTTTTTTATTTAAACTAGAAGTTCCTACCTCATTAATTTAAGCCGAAATTATGAAATTAAAAAAAAAAATCTAAATCAATAAGCAGGTGATCCACTGAAGCAACCTGCCTTTTCAGTTGGTAAGTAATCCATATACATACAAAAACATTTCAAAATATCTTTAATTTCGTCACAAAAACGTTAAACTCTCGACGATTCTCCCTTTGAACAGTAATCATTTTCACAAAGTGGAACAAGTAATTGTTGTTATCAGTTGACTAAATAAAGATATACGTTGAATATTTATATTAGATTAATTATTATTTTAAAATTAAAAAAAAAAAACCCAACATGAAGATAAAATAAAAAATTATAGATATCAGTACTTAAAAGAGATTGTATGAATCAATTATAGTTAAACTTTATATTCATTATCATTCTTTTCTTCAAGTGATACTTCAAAAAGATAGTGTAAATGTCACATATTTTTTCTTTATTAGAGCTGATTGGAATTTTCACTACAAAATTAAGTAAACTAATACCAAAAAATGATAAATTGTCTAATACCATTAGACTTTTTTTTATATTGATCATTACTTTAGCTCTTAATTTAAACATGTATGAGTAAAAAAATGAATTGAAGATGTCAACTATCTAGGGCAGATCCAATATAAAAAATTATTAGGGTTTTTAAGGGTTGTGGAACATTGGTTATTATTAATTGCTCAATTATTGTTGTATATATCATATTCAGTTTTGGCTTTTCAATAAGTTTGACCACCATAACTTATGGGAATAAAAAAACTCCCATTTGTTTGTTTTTTTTTTAGGATTTATATATAATTATATAATGGGAGGGAGAAAGCATTCTTCCATCCATAAACCTATGTTATTATTGTTATTGCTAGAAGCCAACAAACTATACATTTCTTGAAATTTTTCTCAACATTAGGTAAACAGGACAAAGCAGAAATTGTATAACAAAAATGATTGCCAATAATCACCAGCAACATAAAATTAAAAATCATGAAAAAACAATTTGAAATATTGTACCAAAAAAACACATATAATTATGGGATATATCTAAAAAAAAAAAAAAAGAAGGGATAGAGAAAGATCTTTCAATAGCTTTGTTTAATTTTAATGGGTGATTGAGAGACCTAAATCACAAGGCAATTGTGAAAAGCAAGTAGAGACAAATGAGAGTGTGAATCGTGAAAGAGTAGCGTAAACCATTTAGTTGGGATAAAGTCATTGTCCTTATAGTATATGGAATTTTGAATTTGATGGCTATCGCTTTCATCATTTTTCTTCCTGCTTGAGCCATTAGTTACAACTTCAAAAGTGGTTTCGAACGCATCGTATCTGCTACTAAAAGTCATCACCTATGCTACCATTAAACCACCAAATATCTTAATTTCTACATGAAAGACCAGTGGAAGATTAACTCACAATTTTATATTTGGCATGCAAAAACTTGCCACTTTTCTTCTTTGTTTGTTAGATTTATTTTGCTTCTAACTTAGAGTAGCTATCTGGATTCATGCTCCATTTATAAATGCCTATTAATTGGCCTTCTTATTTTGATTAATACAGAAGAAATGCTAGAGTGTCCTACTGTAGCTCTTCTGGCCAGTTTGAAATGGGTTTGGGTAGAAATAATGACGTAAACATCTACTAATTTAAGGTCTATAATCAATCTTTTCTTTTATTTTGACGGAAAAAAGAGATTCGAACTTGATTTTTTAAAAACGATAGCGTGCACTTATTGCGTCAAATACTAATGTGTCAATTTCCGATCTGAGAAAATAGCATTGGCCATTTATAAGTCGAATTATTTATTAGCTAAGTTGATGAATGAATGGTGTTTTATTTGGCACCAAATGATTGCCATGGTTTCGTATTCTCAGATTCATCAGATGCTTAAGTTCGAGATATAGAGTTGAAGCACTCGGGATCATGCAAGTGGGTTGCTCTTGCTCCTATAAAAATATTTAAAAAAAAAAAATTGACCGGACCCCTTCTTCATTGCTTGCTTTTAGGTAGCGATATTTACCCTTTGGGTCCAAGCTAGCCAGAAGCTAAATCCTTACTCATTCCCACGCCTGAAATGTCTCAATCACAAGACCAAGATGATTTCTAACATGAATGGTGTGAATTACCAGAAAATAATTAGAATTGGATGTTTCAATTTCAAAGGATCTGACTGGAACTACACTATAATAATACTGTTAGATGAGAAGCAAAAGGTGCCTTGCACAATACCCTAACCCGGCACTAAGTAGATTTGGGAATGCTTTTGAGTGAAGTTTAAACAGATCAAAGCGGAGACAACGTGAAGAAAATCATGGGAGATTCATATGATATCAGAGAGCAGCAGCTATGGAAAATATACAAGTTTGGAGGCTTGCAAAAAGTAACATAATTCATCCAATTAATCTCAAATGCAGCGGCAGAAGTTAGTTATTGGGTTTTAATCTCTGCTCAGTTTCTGAGTTTTACTTTGAAGAAACCCCAAATTTGTTGTTGGATTTTATAAAAATATGATCCACTAATAATTGAAAAAAAAAGGCTCAAGCAAACTTGAAAAGTTTTTCATTTCCTAGCCTATATAATTTTCAGAGGTTTTGGTGATCCACCAATTTGGCTAAGACATAAATGCCAAGCTGACTTTTAGATATTAAAGTAAAACTAAGGATTTTCCGAAGGCAGTTAGTTCACTGACAACCAAGAATAAAAAATAATAGATCAGAAAGACAAGACAGCTTTGTTTGTTCAATGACAGCCAAGAAACATATAAAACAAAAACACTTTAATATTTGTTTGTTTGTTATTTTATTATCTATAGTCATCATCTTCATCATATATATTAATATGAGGTTGAGCTGCAACTTGCGAGAATTGCAACAAACCTGAGTCATTCCCCATGACTTTGTGTGTGGCTCAGCCTCTTCCTCATCCCTCTCTCCCTTTCTCTATCCCTTTGAGAAATGGACGGGTGTGACTTGTGAGAATCACTGTGAGTGGAGTGAGTATTGAGTTCACTACTAGTTGAGTGTGGTGCAGTGTGTGTAGTAGAGTGTAGAGTGTAGAGTGTTACTCTTCAACGGATGACAGCAGCAGCAGGCCCCATCTGATCTCGAAACCGTGCCAAGGCTGTGGAAAAACACACGAAGGCCCTTAATCAATATGGCTAATTGAACAACACTTTAGTTGTCCATATTCAATGGATGAGATTAGCCTGATCACTTTCCCTTCCTTCAGGGGCTTTAACAACAGCAGAAAACAGCAAAGAATTGCGGCTGTGGCTGTGCATATACCTTACCTTACTTGCCTCAGATAACTAACAACATTAATTACTTACGCCAAGAATCAGCTCTCCTATCCCCACTCTTCATACGTCTTTATATCCTATCTTGTCCATTAGACTTTTTTTCTTTTTTATTGAAAAAATGAAGATTCGAATTCAATTTTTTTTTAAAAGGGATACATATGCTACTTTATTTAATTAATAAATGTTATTTAAGTGTTATGTTAAATATTCTTTAATATATAGGTAAATATCATCTGATTTATGCAAAAATATATATATTCTGATTTACTTCATAGGAGTATATTTTATTTGGGGAGTCAACTAATCTTTTTTGAGAGCCATGCAAGGGGGAAATTAAATTAAGCCATGTGAGTTACTTTCTTTTTTTGGCAATTAAAAATTTAGAAAAGGGGAAGTAACCCAATTCAAGATCCAGATATACTATAAATTTTAGAGAAAATTTATATTAAATTTACAAATTATTCACTAAAAGAATTGTTAACAATAGAATTTTCTTTCATAATATAATATTATGAATTAATATCCTCAAACGTACCTAAAAATTAATGATTCAATACCAGTATTAACCCTTATAAAAAAACTAAACTAACAAAATCTTAGATATATAAATTGTATTTATATATAATATTGGTGATTTTTTTTTTCATTTAGGGATACCTAATTGGTGACTTACACCTAATATAATATTGCATTTGAGGCTCTTAACTTTAATCAGATTGATCAACCTAGATGACCAATATTTGTGTTAAAATCATGGATCAAAAATCCTATACCGCTTATTTATGAAAGGATGAACAGCTAAATATTCTAACTTCTAATTAAGAATAGCACTAATTAAAATTTATTTCATACATAATTATAGGTACTTATTCAAGTTGAGAGATATTATTAGCAATATATTTTAAAATACACTTAGATTATGGCACACCCATGTGTGGTTGAAAGAAAAAAGCGGAGTTTTTGTCATTAATTAGGTGAAAAAATTGTCTTAGCACTCGTTAACAGCACCCGTAGTGAAAATTCAATCAAAATATAGGGGAAAACAAGTAAAAGGACAATGTTATAATTTGCTGGAAATATATAGTTTATATGTGGTGATTGATGCTGGAATTCTTGTTAAGGAGCTTCGTTGGAAACAACGAATTAGCTAAGCCTCTTTGCCTATCAAAAGAATTTGTGAAGAAATAAAGAACAGTTTAATCATTGAGAATCTTTTTTAGATTAGCCAACTAGCTATAGCTAATTACATTCAACCTTACTTTACCAAGATTTTTTTTGCCTGATTGCTATGGAGGCAACAGATATAGGCCCGTCCTTGAAATTGAAGGATTGAAATGACAAATTGTCATGAATTACAACTTAGAATTTTGGTGTTTAATGACTTCATAAATTTTATATTGCTAGCATTTCATTGATGCTAACTGCTTCACTAACATGGCTACTTTGGCAAACTCAGAAACCATATACTATAATCCAAAGTTGTAGCTTGAAATTAAGAGCATGAAAAAAAAAAAAATATATATATATATATATATATATAGTCACAGAATCCCTGTGATATAACATGCTTTATGACTTGTGAAATAAAACATCCTCTGTTCAACAAGAGCCCACTTGACAATGGAACCTTTGCTGTTGAATTGAGTTTGTCCCTTTCTTTTTCTTGTTGGGTTGGGCACTGTCCATTGGAGTGTGCCCCTAAGCTTTCCATGGGAGAGAGAGACTGACAGAAAAAAATTACAAATACCATACTTTGATCAAAATCTTAACGATCCTAAAAAACAAAAAGGAAAGAATAAAAGTAATGGGGGAGTTTGCTTGAAAGTAACCAGAATCTATGAAGAACTGAAATTTTTTGTGCTGCTACTTTGCTTTAAGAAGACATCAAGTGGATGTGGGTTGCATCGCATGCTTTAACGTGCAATTCACCCTTTGCTTTTAATGGGTTTTTTTTTTTTTTTCCTTGTGTGTGTGTATATTCGTGACTTGGCTGCCACACTGCGTGTGAGAAAGCAAGTGTGTGTAGTGAAAACTGACTCTTAAACGTTAACACCAACTCAATTGAACTGTCCTAACTCTCATTTTGCCCATTTTCAGCACCCTATCTTTTCTTCTCTCTCCACCTAATTCTCAACTGATCTATTCTTTACCTACACTTATCTTCCCTGAGATACTACCAAGACTTAGATAATCAATGCTCGCTTAATATATGGTTATATTGTCCTGAATGGTTGTCATAATTCTAAATAAAATATTCAAAATTGGACTCTCAAACCAAAAATTCTTTGTAATTTGTGAAATTTATAAAAAGAAAAAAGGAAAGGGATCCGAGATTAGAAAATAAAAAAAGAATTAAAGGGAAAAATGATTTTGATTAAGAGTAAATTTGATAATTTTAGACATTACGAAATAAAAATAATAACAAAGTATTAAAATAATATGATTTAAAATTTTAATAAAAATAAAAAATATATATTTTATATTTAATGTATCAATAAAAATTATAATAAAATAATTTTTATATTTTACATGTATTTTATAAACGAAATTATGAGTTTGATTGATTTAGGCTTAAAAACTGGGAAAGTAAAAGTTTTCTTTCTGCTAATAGTAACATCATTGGAAGTTGGAAACGAAAAGAAAAAAAGATTGGTGGTATATATATAGCAAACTAATAGAAGTAAGTATTCACGGGGGGCGGCTTATTGTTGCTACCATTCACTTTATATAAGAATCCCCTTGTTCTCTCTATCTGTGTGCTTCATTTGTTTTCTCTCTAGCTGTTACTCATTTCCTTTGTTAGGTCACTTGTTTTGGTTTTGGGGAGGGGCATGGATACGCAAGCTCAGGAGGAATTTGTGGGGTCTAATGATCATCAAGCCTTGATCATGAAAGGCAAGCGTACGAAGCGCCAAAGGTCCTTGTCCCCGTTTGGTGTCACGGTGACTTCTAGCTCGTCAAGTGCTTGTGATGGTGATGGTGATGTTGGTGGTGGTGGTGGTGGTGGTGGAGGAGGAGGAGTGGCGGAGGAATATAACTCAATTTCCTCTCCGACGACGTCTGGTGAGATTTATGAGAGCACTGAGGAAGAAGAAGACATGGCTAATTGCCTAATCATGTTAGCACAAAGTGATGGTCCAAAAAGGAGCAGTATTGAAGAGAAATTCAAGATTGAAAAGTTTGGTGCTCGGAAGTTCTCCGAGATAGCTACTACAACAAACAAGGCTGGGTTTTATGTGTACGAGTGTAAAACTTGTAACCGATCTTTCCCTTCATTCCAAGCACTAGGAGGACACAGGACGAGCCACAAGAAACCCAAGGGCGCCATGGCAGAAGACAAAAAACCAGTTGTTTTGGCAGTTAAAGATCGTGATGTTGAAGAAGCACAATTCAACAGGGAAAATCCTGTTCTTGCTTTACAAGTAAGTAACAACAACAAGGCTAATTGTCATGGGAACAAGGGTAATAAGATTCACGAGTGTTCAATCTGTGGCTCTGAATTCACGTCTGGTCAAGCCCTCGGAGGTCACATGAGACGTCACAGGGCAGCAGCAGCAGCTGCGGCTGCGGCTGCGGCTGCGGCTGCTGCAAGCAATCAAACTGCCATGAGTGTTGATACAACCAGCACTACAATTGACTCCAGCAATGGCGATGACATCAAGCCAAGAAATATTCTATCGTTGGATCTTAATCTTCCTGCACCAGAAGATGATCTCAGGGATTCCAAGTTCCAATTCGGAACACCCCAACAAGCTATTGTTTTCTCCACACCAGCTTTGGTAGATTGCCATTACTAAACCAAAAGAAACCCAACAAAAAAAAATCATGAATCAATGTAAATTACAATTAGTATTGTTTCAATTCGAAATTATTATTACAACTATCAAATTACATCAATTATTATTCTTTGAATTTTATTTCAAAGTTCTGATTTTTGATGATCTACTTGTTGAAGTTGAATACTTTTGAGTAAGTAAGTGGTTAGTGTTCATGGTTGCCTTTCATTCACGAAAAGTAAGTGATGGGGGCATCTTTTATTTCATTTTTCCTTTATGGTAATTCTTTTAATTCTATTAATTTTATTTCTGTTATTTGTTCTTTTCCATGTGGGAAGAGAACGATGTGCAACACTCAAAAAGATAGTAAACATGGGGGATGCCATCGGCTATCCAGGGTTAATTGGCACCACCACCACCACAACCATAAGTCGTGGATTAGGTTCTCTTCCCTTACTGAGTTTTAAATTTTGGTTTTTCTTTTCTTCACTCTCACACTACACCACAGTCTGTTCCATTAAATGACAAAGAATAAATGGATAGCAAAGCTGAGTTGGTAACTGCCCATGCCATATGTATCCATCTGTATCTCTACATTTTTTTTTGTTTCCTTCATTATTCTGTATATAATAAACTATATCTTTTTTAATGGTCTGTCTTGCTTTAAGCTCTATGCCTACTCTTGTTACACCTAATCAACCAACTGTAATATCCCTTACTTTGCAAGTCACTTTAACTAAATTGCCAACCATCCAATGGGATCCAGATCCATGCCATTGATATTCCCTAGGAAGATACCACTTAACACTAACTCATATTTGGCAGAATTATTATCACCATCCTTGATTTCATGATTACTTCATCTGATTTGAAATAACTCAGATTTAATTTCGAATTAATAAGATGAATTGTCACCTTTACAAACAAAAAAGTTATTGGACTTGATAGATATAAAAATTAATTGAATTGGCATGACATGAGTAAGCATGCCTTATGATTGAAATTAATGTAAGAAAAAAATAAATGGGGTGCCTTAATTCACTCACTCACACTCACTTGTGATGAAATGGAGTTTGTTATGTGCACGTTTTGGTGAATGTTGGTAAGCCAAAGCATGTGGGCAGGCACTTGCGTGAGATGTCCAAATACAGATAGAGAGATAGCAAGATCATCATTGACATTTGCACATGTAGTTGCCTTGTCATGTAACCTCCCTAATATTCTCATCTAATTATTCTATATGCTGTTAAAACCAAGTGCTAATAACACTCCACTATAAATTATATTTATGCTTACTTTGCTTGGTTTTATTAAAAAGTTCTCTCTTTTCATTGGCCCCTCAACTACTCAAAGCTACCTCGAATGTCACAACATCAACATTGCTTTTCCAAGTCTTTTTCCTTCGTTTATTATACATATATACATCTTAACCAAGAAATTCTTGTCCACAAATTTTCAGCCAAGTACTTATTAGTATTTCTCTTTTTTTTTTTTCATCTTGCCAAACAAAGCCCAATTAAATAGTAAGATATAAAGGTATTTTTGGTGTAGTACAGTGGATGGATTCCAATATTGTCCAAAAAAGTGACATGTGGACGGCGTGGCCTCCAACTTCACAATTGGACGGCCATCGAAATCTCTTGGCTTTCAGCATTGTTTTTTTTTTTTTTTTGCTTCTCTATGTTGTTGTGGCCAAAGTCATTTTTTATCGCGAAAGGGACCGAAGCTCCAAGGTGCAGTTTGCTAACTGTGACAACTAAGCCAATAAAAACTGAGGCTTGGTGTGATTTTGGTATTGGCCGGCAGTTCTCTTATTAATAACAACGCTAAACAAACTTTTACCTATCTAGTCACTTAGCTCACTCAAGCTTTCCATAAACTTGGGTTTGAGTCAACAACAATCAACCAAATCAATTAGCTAGGTTTAACCTTTTTATATAAAAGAGATCACAGTTTAAAATAAATGAAAAAAAAATTTCAGATATTAAGATTTGAATTTTAATTTTGTTAAACATCACCTTCATAAACTAATTAGACTAAATTTCATATTCAGAATTAGTTAATTTTTACGTAATAATAATAATATATAATGGATTAATGGGTTAGTTTCGAGTAGGCTTTCTTCACTATAAATTTTTTGTGTGGTTAGCCTATCTTTTTTGGTGAGATGTTGCCTACCTAATGTGCTTCTTCATACAGATTTTTGGTTTAGTTAGGTTTCTTTAAAGGTCATGGTAGTTATCAAATGAAAAGTATGTGTGAAGGGCAAAGGAAATATATCTATATATATGCTTACCATGCAGATTATGGTATGTAATTTATTTATCAATTACTCTTTCAATTTAAAATTTAACTTAGGAAGAAGTCTTTTCAACAATGAGAAACAAAATTTGTGATCCATCTCAGTTCCCCTTTCTTAAATTACTTCCCTAGCTTAATGAGTCATGACTCATGAGATTATGACAGTTGCCAACTGTTTAAATGCAAATAAATGAAGAAAGGATATGCAAACAAATATTTTTGACATTGAAATTGAAGTGTGGTTAATCCTATAGTGCTAATTAAGCTAGTAATTTGATTTAAATCACCTTATATTTTCAAATTAGTCTTCGTCGGTGATAATTTGCCTATCTCAAATCAGTCTGTATGGCAAAACCATTAGCCCATTATCCTGATGGCCATTTTAGTTAAGTGGAATCATGAGATAAATAAAAAATACCAACCAATCGATCATATAAACAGTTGCTGTGGTGTAGTGGTTATCACGTCAGTCTTACACACTGAAGGTCCCCAGTTCGATCCTGGGCAGCAACATGGTTAAATTTAATCTCTTTTTTCCTTTTTTTTTCCCCTTGGGCTGAACACCTTAGAAAAATGATTTTGTGGTTTTGCTTCTGATATTTGGAGACAGTCCAATAAGACCAGTTCAGGGCTGTTTAGGATGAATTGGATTAATTAGATAACAAATGGAATCTTTCTTCGAATGCCCTCTTCAACTCCAACTCCAACTCCAATTCTGCTAATGTGGGATTTTGATCCCGCTTGCAACTTTAAATAGGAAGCATTTACATGAGAAAGTTTCAGGCAACTCACATGGTATTTCAAAAGTTATGATATTCTTTCAGTAAAGGCAACAGTTTTTGCAGGATTGCTCGAATCTCACCTCATCATTACCACTTGAGCAAGCCCAAGTGGCCACTGCTATGATATTTGCCGAAGCTTAATCAAAGATTAGAGGAGTTTGGCAATATACAACACGTGAAAGCCACAGAGAGAAGCTGTTTCCAGATATAGTTAAGCAATATTTATGAATAATTTTCAACACTCGATGCTATCTACAAGAGAATAATGAAAAACTGGAAAAACAAATATAAAACCGCTCTGCTATGGTTAATATAGCTAATACAAGTTCTACACCAAATTTCACATTGCCACTCTCCAACAGATCATGTAACCCCCCCTGCAATCATGCGATAAAGTTTTTAGCATTGTGAAACTTTGATTTCATTTGGAATCATAAAAACCGTCATGAAAACCTTGTGAAACATAATGAAATGATTGGTGAACTGTCTAGTGATGTGGACATCGTGTTGAGAATTATGTTCTCTTTCTATATTCTACTACTCGTATAGATTTTAAGGCTGTGTTCTTTCGACTTATACAAAAATATCATTTTTGTTTTTTTTTTTCTGAGGTAGTTTAGGCTTCTTTGTAATCATTTAAGAATAAAAATTTTATATTCTTTAAATTCTCAGTCCTAAACTACTTGCCACAGAAAAAAGTACCAAGCAGCAAAACTTTGCAAGAAACCAATGTAAGATGAACTCCTGAACGTTTATTGACAAGCTAAAAGAAAAAGTTACTCCAACTTTTACAAAAGAATTTAATCATCAGATGCTCACATACCATAGACTGATGCAAGTGACTAACAAGTTGCCCATTCAGAGAGGAGGTGCACAGAAGGGACTTGTCCTCAGTTAGCATAAACATTCAGTCTCACTCGGGCAGTAACTTCAGGGTGGAGCTTCAACTCTGCAATATATTCTCCTGTTTCCCTAATCTCTGGAAGAGAAACTATTCTTTTGTCCACATCCCTACAGATCAACAAAAAAGTTGAAAATTAAGCAACCAGATTGATACACAAGGAAAATTTGTAAGGAATGCATGTTGCAATCAAAATTTTTATCTCACAGTTCTTAAGTTATTATTTACTAGGTTCCAAAATATCTGGACCGACAACAGATTTCCATTTGGGAAGGATTCTTGTCTAAGGTTAATATACCCTTTTAACTAAATGGATATAGGAATCTCCAATTGGCTATTCATCTAGCTATAAATACTTGCAGAAATCAACTTTAAAATTCATTAATAAGGGTGTAACACTGAAACTTATAGAAGACCACAATTGTTTAACAAAAATGCAAATGGTTCATGATGTCACATCTATCAACAGAACCAAACTAACTTTATGTAACAGTCTGTCAGCTTCATGTGTTTGCTGTAACTTGAAACTGCTGATGCAGATTGCATTAAAGATGACACTGGGGCATATAAATAAATTGCATTAAGAATGATAATGTGGCATATATAAATTAAGGCAAATAGCTTGAATTTTTAGTCAATGCAAATTAATTTTTTGAATAAGATCCAGAGTTAGGATGCTTGTTAGTAAAAGAAGTTAACATATTTTTACATCTAAACCCCACAAAGATTGATGCCAGTACCGTTGAATCTGTGCCTTGATAATATCTACAAGATCTTGAGCAGTAACACTGAAAGAAACAATTGAATGTCAGAGATGAGAAGCAATATGATAAGCAAAACAACTAACATATTAACTGCTTACTCTGCTGTTGGATCCTACTCACCTTCCAAAAATTAGCTTTCCTTTTCCACCTTTCCGCTTCACCTTAAAAGCTCCAACAGTTTCAAATATTAGAGCAAGTTGTTGTGCCTCTTCTTTTACCTGTAGTAAAACAAGATTATCTAACAAGATTCAGTGCACAGACACAAATAGAATAAATTTCTCTAATAAAGCCACAAATAACAAGCAGAGAAACAGTCTTAAAACACCATAGGGAAACAGCATTAGTATATTTTATTCATTGTATACCACCTTGGAACAAATGAACATAGTGTTTGATTAAACTGACCATTCGACACCACAAAGAAATACTGTCAGATCTTACTCCATACCATACGAGCAATGACACAAACATAAACACATACATGCTAAGACAAGTGTCACCTCAATCAGGGAAGATTCTATTTTGACATTGCACACTAGCATTCAGCCTCAAAACATTAAGATGTGCAGTTGTCTAATGGGGTAACAGACCAAAAAACAACCAGAAAAAAGGATGACAAAAAAGGGTATTTGCTAAAATCGAAAATTCAAAACCGTTAAAAAAAAACAACATGTGCTACTAAATTACCCGTTGCTTCTCTGCTTCAATTCTTTCCTCCTCCATTTTCATTTCCCTGGACAAAAACAAAAACCATCAATTATTTTCCAAATCATATATGAGGAACATTTCTCCTTATAATACAAAAAGTATGTTTATAAATTACACTCACAAATCAAATTTATCTTACTTCCTTCTATCTAAAGGTTGAAAACTACTCTAAAAGCAAGAGAAATTAAAAAAAAAAAAAAAAACAGAGATTAAGGTTACAAAATACTTGAGCAAAACAGGAGTGATAATCTGGGCCTTTCCCATTGGCAAAAGATAATTCCTGAAATACCCAGCTTTGACATCCAAAAGCTGCCCTTTCTGTCCTAGGTTTTCCACATCCTCCTTCAATATTACCTGCGACCCACCATTAACAACCGAATCAGCTTACTAAATATATTTAAAAAAAAAAAAAGAAAGAAGATATACCAAATTTCAAGATATTAAAAAAAATTACTTTACCTTTCGAGTCTTTTTAACTTTCTTTTGGTTAAAAACCACGAATACCCTGTTTCTGTCTGTAACTTTTGTTGTCTCATTTTGGGTTCCGCCAAAGCTGTGAAGCCATGAGAGGGTAGATGCTGCTGCAGTCGTTGCCATTGCCACTCCCTCGAAAAAGCTCAGTCTCTTTTTATCTCAGTTCTGTCCTTCCCTTAGTAATCTTATCTAGTACTACGCATTTCATGCCACTCTAAGAAACCGTTTTGCGTTTTATGTTCTGTCGTTTTGATATTACCTAAATAATTTTGGGTGGTTGTATTCTTAGTATATTTTATTTCAAATGGATTATTAACATTTTTGGTTGAATTCCACCTATTTAAATTATAGGTTTCAAGTGAATTTTTTACAATATTTGTAAGTTTATTTTCCAAAATACTTTATTTATTTGCTTCATTTTTTTTTATATTTTTCTTTGTTTTATGTTTTTATTATTTTATTACTCTCATAAGAATTAAACCTTACCTTTTCAATTTAAGGATTCAATCCCTATGAGAAAGTTAATTATTTTTTATTTTAATTAATTATTATATTACCAAAAAAAAAAAAAAAAACTCTTCCAACTCATTATTCATAAAAAAAATAGAGGGGAAAAAGTTAATTATTTTATTATGTAAACTAACATTTGACTCAATCCTAAAAAAAAAAAAAACAATTTTCAAATCTCACTTTCTTCAAATAAAAAATGTTATTTATCATTGTTAGGATTTTTCTTGTTTTTTAAATTTTTAATATATTTTTAACCTATAGTTTTTTATTTACTTAACACTTTTAAAGAATAAATTATTATGTATTTAATTTTTTTCAAATTTGTAATATTTAAAAACTTTGACCGATATGTATGTCATTATATATGGAGAATATTTATCGAAAAAATTATAAATAAATTTTGGATAACTTTAACTCCCCTAACAAAATATTAGCTTATAAAAAAGATTAGTAAAAAATTATGGGATTTATTCATAAATAGTCTGTGTTATTAAGCTTAAACGGGCTGGAAATCGTCCACTTGATTAACCCATCGGGCTGTACCCTTGATTGGGTTGAGTTTTTGCCTACGATTGAGTAGGTCTATTCGTTTCCCTAAAGGAAAAAGTTTTTTGTTTATTACCCTTTGATACATTTCATTATCTCCATTCACATATATAAAACTCACGTACGTCATGAATTGTGAAAGTCATACGTGAGTAATGACGATGTTTATATTAAAAAGTAATTGACAGAAAAATAATAAAGGGCATCTGGACACCTAAAGGAGTGCTCTAACATTATTTTACTAACGACTGCTTTAAAATAATTTTTAAATTAGATTAATATTTTATGTATAATAATTTTCTTTCATTAATATAATAAATAATAATTAACAATTAGGATGTGAACTTTTAATGCATCAAAAAAATTTATTAATATGATTAGGGGAGGTGCTAGAGGAGGCAGGTATGGGTCATAACCCTCTAAAATTTTTTATTTTTTTATTGTATAATGATCAATTTCATATAATTATTATTTTGATAATTTTTTTATAATTATTGTTTGACTCTTTTTTTATTAATTTTTTTTTACTTTCCCCTTTGAATATGATAGTTTTAAAGAGTATTTTTTGTAAAAAAAAAAGGCACATTCATTTGTTTGCTTCTTTATTTTAACAAAAAAAAAATTAGGTACTCTATTTAGTAAGTATTTCTTTTTTTTTTTTTATACGAGCATTAACCAACTTCGTTTAGCAAGTATTTTACCCAAAAAGGAAAGTTTGACCTTAATTTATTTTCTTGTTACCTGGAGCTTCCAAAGTTGCCCTGGCCAGCAATACTTCCTGAACTAGTAAAAACTCCACCACTCTGATTTTGTAGTACCAGACTCTGATTTTGTAGTTGTCAAGTTGTAGCCTTTTTTTCTTCCCATAACAAAACGTGGTTAATTGTCTCAATATTAATCAGGTTAATTTACTTTTTTCGCCTAGGGGAAAGAATAGTGTTCAATAGCTCACTCTTGCAGAGAGCCAAATTCTTGAATTGATTTGTTGACACGTTGAGTGTTCCTCGACAGTTTCCAAGTCTTCACGCTTTTGGTTCGTGTAAATGGTTTAATGGATTTCATTATGGATAATATTAATGGTTTAGCAAAAACCTAAATCTTGTTTTTTATTATTATTATTTTTTTAAGTAAAAAAGATGCGTCAGCGGGATGTCATCATAGCAGCATCGGGCCCAAGATTGGAGGTCCGTTGATGTCCTGAGTTACCTCTATCCGTAGGAACGGTAACAATATTAATTGAAATTAATTGAATATGAATTATTTAATTATTTTTATTTTTAATTATTTATCAATATAAAAAAGTTAAAATATATTTTAATAAGAAAATCTTTAATTAAAGATAAAATAATTAATCTTAAAAATTATCAAAGGTATAAGTGTCGTTTACTATTTATACTTATGGAGTTATCACATTTTTATATAATATATTGATTTTGATAATTTAAATATATATTCTCTGTTGTGTAATATATAAATATAAATATAAATTAATATTAATTATTTCAGACGTCCGTTTTGGGAAGAAAAGCATAAATATCGTTGGACTAGTAAGACATAAATATTTAAGGAAAATCTTTTAAAATTAATCACTTTATCCATTTGATATATTTGAGATTGAAACTAAAAAAACAGCACTTAATCAAATAATATGCTGCCTTGAAAATATTTTAGATAGGACAATGTTATGCGCTTATAATTCATACATATCAATTGTACACATTTTTTTATTATTTTTTCTTCCAAGTTTTTTTTATTTTCTATTTAATTCTTATGTTTTCAAATTTCTTATTTGTGTATGAAATTTGTGAAAATTTTTTATATCATCTCTTTCACAGATGCGCGTGCACACACTATATATATACATATATATATATATATATATATTTGTTCTATGAAACTTAAAACATAATAAGAAGGGGAAATGTTATATACAAGTAAGACAAACATAATATTTTTTTCCTCTCATCATCTTTTCTACTCTGATAAAAAAGTCATTTTATTCTTTTATTTCTCAAAAATCTCATCACATAATAATATTATAACAATATTGTGTATATATATATGTATTTACGTACGTACGTATGTTTCTTATATATGTATATAGCATTGTCCAAAGCAGCATTTTCTTACAAATAATGCTGCCACGTGAAGTGTTCACCTATTAGCACTCCAATCTCCATATAAAAGGGGTATTTGAAGAGCCCTAGCTGAGAAAGCTTGCAAGAGATAGGAATTGAGGAGTAAAGTGATGGCAATATTAATCCTAGTAAAGTAAAGATTTGTTAATGATCAAATGAGTTTAAGTTTCATAACCCACAACATTAATGTTATATAATATTGTTCATTTAAATATACTTTATTCTATATATAGCTACCTACGCGAGTAGTTTAATTTATACGTATATGGCTAGAAGAAATGGTCAAACATTATTTTTATAGCTTAATGAAAATCCATGCGTAAGCAAAAATAGCCACTCGAATTTGCTAACTGGAGGCTGGTACCATTTTCTCATACCTGATGCTGATCAGTTTGGTGCTCAAAGCCGCATATGAACAAACAACACAAACAAGAAATTTAGATTGTTTACTTATCTGGATTGATTTAATTAACTGAAGCCCATGAATTTCTTCATTACTTTATTCTTTTCCTTCCATTTACACTCGCTAGAGTTTGAATTTTGCTGAAGAAAGATTGTGACTGATGGCTATAGCTAATATGATGAAAGGTTAAGGTTTAGTATTCTTATCTGATTGGGTAAGGCTTCAACAATTTGAATACTTCAAGTCATGCGTGAGAGAGATTGATATCTAAGATTAAAAAAATCTGCTTTTCAATGAAGAAATAGAGAGAAGAGATTGACATGATGCAATCTAAAATGTCCTACATGTAATAAGAAATTAAATATTGTACGGATAATATAAATTCATTTGGGAGCAATAGGATTATTTAAAAAAAAAAGACTGCAGCTTTGATAAAAAAAAATTGTAAGATTTTAATTTTAAATTTATTAAATATCATATTTTAAAAAATTATATAAATTAATTGAATTAAATTTCGAATTCAGCATTAGCATTAATTTGGTTTATTATCTTTACTAATTTAATATAATACTATGAAATGAAAATGTTTGCCAACTTTTGCATGGACTTTTTCATTTAAGTGTCGTCATGGCTGCCTAAGATTAGTAATATTAATATCTGAGGGAGGTCTTAAGTGGGGAAGAACAGAAGCTCTTAAGTTGACTTATTGGAGCTTTCTCTCTCTGTCCATGTCTTAATTTCTTAAACAAATTTTATGTTTGTTTTTCGCACATCTCCAACGACGAAACAATTTTCTTCTACCTCTTTCCATATAACCATTCTTACCCACCAAACAAGCTTTTTAGAATATGCCATCCAAATCCAAACCAAGAAAGCTAAAGCTACCGTTAGAGACAATTTGAGGCTAGGGGGATAGTATAGGCAAAGATTTTGAATATGATTTCAGGGGCGGCTTCATGTTTCCCCAATGCATCACAAGGTTTACCGATGTATCCTGTGGCTGCAGAAAACATTGTTTCATCTTCCCTTGAAGCAGCTGGTTCAGGCCCAGAGGCTCATACAGGCTCTCTCTTTTATAATCTCTCAATCCTGAAAGATAGGGTTCATCAGGTTCAGTCACTCGTTAGCATCATTATCTCTCCAGATCAAACCCACCCTGAGTCAACGTCTTTAGCTATAGCAAGCATGGGTTCTCTGGTTCAAGACATCATTTTAACAGCGTCTTCGATGATATTCGTTTGCCAACAAATGTCTCTTGGAACCACCTTAGGTAACAATAGCACAACTGAATTGCACCAACAACGAGTTAGAGTAATTCCTGATAATGGGATATCTCAACAGCCAAACTTTAGTGATAATTGTGTTGGTAGCACAGTTCAAGAAAGAGGACAAGGCTTTTATTTTAGTACTGGTCAAACAACTAGCTGGTATGGTGACCACTGCAACAACCATAACAACAACAATAGCAATAGCAGTCGAAGTTTGAAAGTTAGCAGTAATGGTAAGCTGGAAAGGAAAGAAATGACTGAATTGCCTCGAAGAAGCGAAATTAGTGAAGGGTCACAAGGGATTTCAGCGAAGAATTATGATATAATCGAATTGGATGCTGCGGACTTATTAGCTAAGTACACACATTACTGCCAAGTTTGTGGTAAAGGGTTCAAACGAGACGCAAATCTGAGAATGCACATGAGAGCTCATGGTGATGAATACAAGACCAACGCTGCTTTGACTAACCCCATGAAGAATAACGAGGGAAGTAGTAATGCCATGGGAAACTGTTCGACGAAATTGCCCAAGAAATATTCATGTCCTCATGAAGGTTGTAGGTGGAACCAGAAACATGCCAAGTTCCAACCACTGAAATCCATGATTTGTGTGAAGAATCACTACAAGAGGAGCCATTGTCCCAAGATGTATGTTTGCAAGCGATGTAACAGGAAGCAATTCTCCGTACTTTCGGATCTCCGAACTCATGAAAAGCACTGTGGTGATCTTAAGTGGCAATGTTCATGCGGTACCACATTTTCCAGGAAAGATAAGCTTATGGGTCACGTTGCTTTGTTCGTTGGGCACAGTCCAGTACTTGTTACTAATTCTTTGACAAAGCAAGGAAAGCTCGAGCACCAAAGCCACCACGATGCAACTAGTCAATAAGTAAGATGAAACACTTGTGCATATAAATAATAGAATCTACTACTGGATGCCATGTTCTTCTTTCTTTTTAATGTAAATTTCAATATGACAAAAAACTACGAAACAATATTAATTTCCTATGTTCCATAGTTAAACACTAGAAATTAATGCTACAGTACTGTCAGAATTCCTGCATTTACCATGTTTAATTATATACATATGATATATAAGTGCTTTAACAATAGGAGAAAAGAGAAAATAGAAAAAAAGAATTATGTCCTTGTTTGTAGTTAATTGGGTTTTAGTAGTAAGTTTTGACCATGTGCCGCTTATAAATATTCCTGGGGATGATGAGCTATGAAGCAAGCCACTTTATCGACAAGGCTTCGACTGTGGTCCGTTTTTGTTTTCAAGGCTTTATCTCCAAAAGGATAGGAATCTGATACAAATGTTTTGAGGCATCAGTCATGTTAAAGAATATGTCTATAAACAAGAATTCTAAAGCATCATATATTATGCCACGATCTATATATAAATATGTACCGTGTATGCATGTACATATACATATATATATATATATATATATATATGACATTTTCTTTAATTTTCTTGTAGTTCCTTCCAATCTTGTCTGTTTCTAAGTTTTAACTAACTCAAATTTACTTGTACGATGGAAGATATAGAATTCCATGCAGTATCATCCATATACTATATATAGTACTATTATTTTATTTCTAGCTTTGATTTCAAGTAATTTGAAACTTGTTGCTTTATTGATTTTATGACAATTACGATTATATATGAATGTGATATCATATACTTGGGTAAATCACATTTTGACAAGTAAATGTGTAAAATGAGTGTATGGGATTAGTGCATGTAGCATTGCCCTGTGTTTAATTAATTGATTGATTAAGTTACCTAATCATATACTTCAATGGTTTTGTTACACAATTGTGTACAACCTGCTACCTAGCTACAACACTTGAATCATGGATTTTTAACGTCTTATAATTAGATATTCATGAATTAATATATATATATATATATGCTTCATGATTTATTCATAGATAATAAGCTAGGTACTTAATTTCACATTGATTTAATGCATTTCTCCATATTCATTTTGAGTTCATGATTCATGAACATTGTTTTATGATATGTTTCCAATTCTCAAGTCATGTAACTCTTTAAGAGTTGGTGTGAAGTATATATGTTTGATATGTTTTTCTCATAAGGTTTTCCATCCCATTTGCTAATTAGATACTAAAACCCTCATTCTTATGCCAACTCTTTACCATCTATTAATTTATACACTCAGAACCAGAAGAACAGTCCCTACTAACTTTTTTTTTTTTTCTAAAATGATCGTATTTTGTAATATATAATTTGGGCTTGATTCAAAGGTAAACACCAAATAGAGCCAAAATATTAAGAGGCCAACAAGGGAAGGTGGTATTTGTAGTGAAATCTCTTATGATCGAGTTAGTAAAAAGAAGAAATAGTTTTTTTGGTTAGAACATGATAAATTTATATCTTTTAATTAAACATATAAAATGTGCAATTTCAAAAATTTTAATAAATAGTTAATTGGTGAGATGATACTAATTCAAGAAATTAATAAACACTATACATTATATTATAGTATTGATAATATATATTTATGAAATTTGCATGGCATGTTGATTTCGGAAATAGCCTAAGTATATGGGGAAAAAAAAAGGGTGAAGTACATATGAAGAAAGAAACGTTTCTTCTTAATAGTGTTTTTCTTTTTTTTTTTACTAACCCTTAATAGTAATTTTCTTTTACTGAAGAAACGCTCCTTTTATCGCCACTTGGAGAGATTGACTCGTGCTCAGATTTTCATCCCTCAACGGTTCGCCCGCGAAACATAAAAATTCGATCAAAAAATAAAATAAAAAACGGAAACAAAACAAAATCCCGCTTAAATTCTTAAACCTCAAAGAGGACAAGACTCAATCGTCTCCGTCCAATTCCACCCTTTCAAATCCAACGGTCCCTAATTTCCACGTCATCGATCCTCGCAAATCAAAACCCACCAATCAAATCTCACCCCCTCCCCTGTATATATTTACCTCCCACTCCCTTACAACGCATCCCATTCCATCAGAACATTTTCTAATCTTTTTTAGCTGAGAATTTTGAAATCAATCAAATTTCAAAAATGGCACCAAAAGCCGAGAAGGCCCCAGCGGAGAAAAAGCCTAGAGCCGAGAAGAAGCTCCCCAAAGAAGCCGGTGATAAGAAGAAGAAGCGAGCTAAGAAAAGCATCGAAACCTACAAGATCTACATCTTCAAGGTTCTGAAGCAAGTCCACCCCGATATCGGGATTTCGAGCAAGGCCATGGGGATCATGAACAGTTTCATTAACGACATTTTCGAGAAGCTTGCTCAGGAGGCTTCGAGGCTCGCTCGTTATAACAAGAAGCCGACGATCACCTCCCGCGAGATTCAGACGGCCGTGAGATTGGTCTTGCCTGGAGAGCTGGCCAAGCACGCTGTCTCGGAAGGGACCAAGGCCGTTACCAAGTTTACTAGTTCTTAGGTTTTGGAAAGAAGGTCATTTTGGAAAATACGGTTTTGTTGTAAAAATTCGTAGCTTTTAAGGTTGTTTCATCCGTTCCCGAGCTTAAATTCAAATCTATTTCTTCCAAAATTTATATTTCAAGGTTAAAATACAATTCAAGCTTGTTCTAATCGATTTCAGCGTGTACATAATCGACAAAAACAAAGTTCTTTTGTAGTTCATACAATGCATATGCCAGGCTCGCTGAAACCAGTGCAAGTACTGCTAAAACAATTCGGAACTGGATGTCGGACGGAACGCCGGCTGTTGCGCAGAATCCGACCGTTGCGCCCATTAGGATCTTCTGCCATGTTTGGAATGATGTGTAAGCTTGTTTACATGATGAACACTTGAGAGTGTGTTGTTCGAATCTATCCAACATCTGCAAATGATAACGAGATATTTCAGATCGTGCTCGAAGAAGCTGTTGCGAATATCAGTAAAATATAAATTTCCTATACCTGGCGTTTTGATAAGGCTGTGGATGGGAGAGGCTGTTGGACGGTGGAGCAGAGCCATTCGGGTTGACTGTTGCCGTGACGCCTTAGCCAATTTCGAAATGCCAAGACAAAGCGATCAGCTTGTGTGGGTGTAAAAGTGAACTTTGTGTAGTGCTTGTTTACATCCTCTGAACTCTCCATTAACTTTGAAAGAAAGATCTTTTCTTGACCTTGAAGTACAATCATGTCTCCATCATAGACCTTGTTTGAAGTCCAATGTTCATACCCTCTAGGAACCACCTGACATCAGAAGTCACAAATGAGTGACTCAACGATTTGTACAGAAATGAAGCCTAGTGCTAAAACTTGGGTAATGAAATCATGTTGGCTAAAGCAAGGAGATGAGCCAAAAGCCTCTGCTTCATCCTTCAATTTAGTGTCGAATAAACCTTGAACGAAGCTCTAACACAGTGTACATGGAAAAGGAGTAAGGTATAGGGCTATGGCCATAGGCAACATGATGAAAGAAGTATAGGAGTAAAGATAACCATATAACTGAAAGTCTGCAACATGATACACAAACATATGCATTAGAAGCACAATTAAATAGTACTCACCTGCCACCAGGCTGTCCCTGGCACTGTAAACTGGAAGAAGTTTCGAGCACTACAAACAATTGATCTTGTCTTCCCTGGAGCCAGTGGTACATTGAATGAACATATCCATATCTTCCATTTCTGCTCACCAACTATAGGAAGCCTTGTGTCTATCTCTATTCTGCAGCGAGAAGTGGCCTAAGTACAATAAATTTGAAAGAAAGTCTACAAAGCTCAACTTTAAGGATAAAGGAGGAAATAAGTCCTTAACTAACATAAGTTGCAGTGAGTGTCAAAGCAACTTAGTCCTGATCATCAAAAATCTTTGATTTTACACATGAAAGATGTGCAGCATAAGAGAAAAGCGGAATAGGTATAGAAAGTTAAAACTTTGAAAGGCAAGCCCTTTTCAATAACTTTTGATCCTTTCAATTTAACTTCAGTCTTGGAATGAAGATGTATTTAGTGAATAGTCCTAGATTCCTGGCAGGATGCCAAAAGAATTCTTGATAATGTCATGGGATATACATTGACATATAAATATCAAATTCATGAATATTTTTGGTAATGTGTAAGAAAAGTTACTCTATGATCCATTGAAATTTTAAATCTTAAACAAGAGTACTGAACTTACTTATTCGTATAATAACATGGTGCAACAAACTTAGCACTGATCTTTGGGTTACCCTCATTTGATCCACCAAAGCCCCAAGGGCCACTAGACTCCACCTTAAACGGCAAAGGTTTGGCTCTCTCTCTCCTCCCAGTAACCTGTGTTGAACAGAGAGCAAAAGTTGTCAGCGATGAAAGAATTATGTTTCCCTACTTTATTCTATTCCAAAACTAACACTAGGGATAAAACAACATTACAACCCCAATAAGAACCAGTGTGTTTCCAAATAAACAATTGCAGAAATATGAAAATGTGGTCTAGAACCAAAAGAAACATGTTGAAATATGCATCGGTCTAATCAAATAAGATGTAGAAAGCAAGAGATTGCCCGGGGATAGATGGTGATACTTTAAGTAATCTTAATACAGTTTGATTTTCATTTATTAAAGTCCTAATCTTCAAAAGCATGTTTGCAAAAAGGAAACTTAACATTTCAAGTAAGCTTCATCCAAAAGGTTACTTCATTACTCAACATTAGAACAAATTGGTGAATAGATGCTATTAGCCAAGACACAAAAAATCAAGTCTTAACCTACGCAGGAAATGCGGCCATGGCACCATAAACAAGTAACAACACTTTGTTTCACTTGGAAATAATGAATCTTTCAATCTCATCACTATACCATGATGGATCTTTTAATATCATCTCAAACCATTTAATTAAGCTAAATTTCAAAAAGTTAGTAAAAGTACCTTGTGATGAGCAAAATCAATGTGGGAAGGATCAGAGACATTCTCCATGAGGGTATCATAACCATTGAACAGATCACGCTAAATATTCACAGTTGCAAACTCAGGCTTTTCGAAGTCATCAGGCAACCTGAAAACCATAACAATGATGTTTCATCAAGATATTCACCTAGATCATCTAGTCCAGTAATTGATACAGTAGATGAACCACAAGCATATAATAAAATTAGATGCAATGAATTACATGGGGGGCTTGGTGGCACTTGCTCTTTCCTGACCATTCTAATCAGGCCATACAAAAAGCAAGCCTTGAGATACCATTGTAGGAAACCTAGTAGCACATGCTCTTGGAGACTGAACTGCACGAGCTTCAGGACCTTGAGATGCAGCCTGAGGAATCCTAGTGCAAGATCCACATCCATCAAAAGACCATCCATGATATGAACATTGCAAGTGCCCATTTTCATCTATCCGCCCTTCCTACAAATTCGCAGAAACCAATCAAAACCGAGAATTACAACAATCAATCGACCCAGAATTCCAGAACTTTAAATTATGAATTGCATAGAGTACCAACTTTACTAGGTGAATAAAAGGACCAAAGGAAAATCTAAATGTTGCGCTTTATTTTAAGTAGAATTCCAAACCAAATTCTAAATGGAGATTTATTTTGTAAATATCTTTCTCATTAATTTTTGAAATATTAATAGATTAGTATTATTTTATTTTGAATAAATTTGTATGAATTTTATCACAAATCAAAAGATTAGAATTATTTAAAATAGATAATTGTTCAAATAATAATGTGTTTTTAACTATTTGGTAAACAAATTTCCTTTTTAAATAAGTAGCAACCAGGATCTAATCAAAACAGAGTGAAACTTACAGACAAAGGAGCAAGCCTATGGGGACATTTGTCATCAAAAGCGACCCATTCATTCTTTCCTTTATCAAACCAAAGCACCAAATCACGACCCAGAAGCTGAAATGGGGTTGGTAAGGCTGGGTCCAAATCTTCAACCAAAGAAACTGTGTACCAATGATCTTTCCATGAAAACTTAGATTCTGAACTCTCTTCACCAAATTCATCACCTACCCTATACTCTTCTTGTTTTTGATCCGAAGTTGGTGCTGCTGCTGATGATGATGATGGTGGAGCTGCCACGTTTAGAGGCTTAAGCTTTGTGATTCTTCTTGGAGTAAGGTTCCTCCTTGGAGATATGAAAGCATGGGTTTTGCTCGCTTGTGAAGATGCAATAACAGAAGTTGCTATATGAGCAGTAGAAGCAGAAATAGCCAGAAACACCGCCATTTTTTTCTATCTTTGCTGACCTTGGCTCTATTCCAAATTGTACCAGAAGTCTGATTTCCTTAATTGGTTTTGACTTTTGAGCCTCCTTAAAGAAAAAAAAATGGGTTCTTTTTTTTTTTTTTCTATTAAATCAAGATGAAACAAAAGAAAAAAAGAGAAGCTTGCGTGCAAGTTTCCGATGGGTCTGGAAATGCCTTTGGTTTTGAGACCAGACAGTGAAAACCATTGAACCCTTTCCCGCAGGAACTATACTACGTGTCTTCCCTAATTGCAAGCCTTTTCCAACAACCAATGGAACAATGACACGTAATCCTTTGCAGCTGTTTGTATGACGTGCTGCAAGTTATGCAATGGGTTTAGAAGAGGATTAGCCGCTTGGTGTGCTGACAAGAAAACTATGTTTACCTTGGCCATGGCATTACAGCCACAAATTTTAACGTTATTAACGGTAATAGTACCAAAATACGTGGCAAAGTAGCAGGAGAGATTTGACACGTAAAATGAATAATTTTGGTACCTGTGAAGGTGAGCAGCCAGATTTTTCCTTCTTATTTGACTTTTTTTTGCTTCTTTTACTCTCTGTAAACAATCACAAAGATTTTTTTTTTTTTGGGTTCATTCACTCACAAATATAATTGCTCGCTCATTAAACTATAATTACATGATTGCTGGCCAAAAAAAACAAACTATAATTACATGATTAAAGCATAGATTATACAGTATCCATGTTTTACTTATCTTTTATAAAGGCCAATTTCAATGATTTACTCTGTACATGATCCATAGCTGCTTTCTTTTGGGGTTCTGCTTCTTAAATGGGTGCCCTAGCCACAGGTAAAACCAAAAAGAGAAAAGTTCTATTCCATTCCCAAAGCTGAAATAAAGCTAATCTTCTCCATTGGCAACAAAGAAGAAATGGAGATCAAGTCCACCGTGGAAGGATTCAATGTCAATAGAAACTGGCACCATCTCAGCCCCTGATCATGTGTCTCAGGATGACATCGATATTTCAACATGTATATAAACAGAAAAATAATGAAGTGTAGGGTAAATAACCCTTTTTTTCCCTCTGAACTACGCACATCAGATACTAACTAATGGACAGTGATAACTGATTTGGTCCAAGACACCAAAACAACTAATGCATTGGGACTAACTCTAGATAGAGATACTGGTTACACAAGGGATAGACCACACTAGCTTGGAGGCATAACTACTTGTATTGGTATGGCCTTAACTAAAGAGAGTGCTATGTATTTGAGGAACAGGGCGAAAAATATAAAAAAGGATAAGAGAAGGGGGGTGGGGGTTCGGAGGATCATCAGCTTCTAAAAAAGAACCATAAAATTTTGAGTAAGAAGGTGAGATGATGAATTAATAAGTTTATGTGCCTAAGCCTCCAAAAAGGTCAAACAGTTTATTCATGACTCTATTTCTATATCCAGCAGAAGAGTGACACCTAATGAATCCCCATAATTAGTCAGGGTATTTTTCTTATAAATATTATTTGAACAACATATAAAATTCTCTTCAAGAAATATTATAGAGATGCAAGAAAAGTATGCTCTGTTGGAAGAAGTGTGGGCGGCCAACCTTGAAGCAGTAAATTGACAAAATGAGCAATCTTTATATATATATATTCCGTGTTGAGTTAGAAATAAGAACATGACAGTGAATCAGCAAATAATAATAATAAGATATAAGACTATGAGACATGGAAAAGCAAGCTCTTTTCTTTTTCATGTTATGTCTTTGATTTCTGCAGAAAAAGCAAAACAAAATATTTGCTTCGAAATTCAGTATATTGAAGGAGATAGATCAAGCTATCAACCCTAAGCACATATAATCTTAGCAATTGCACGGGAACAAGATTATCCTGCCACTTCAAGATCAAATATTGAGCCACTCCTCTCAATTGGACTGAAGAGGAAAAGACAAAAAGAGGAACTGTGAACTGAGTCAAATGAGGAAATTTACGACGTGGATGGTTTTTTTAATTTCAAAATTCCACGTCAAAATAAAATTGTTATTTTATTTTCACAATGTGCCATGTCAGTACCGCATCATCAAAGGATTACAAATCAGCTTCATTGTGTGCCATGTCAGCAAAGTAAACGGTCGATTTTCATCCAGCTACTTTGACCAGTATTTATACTATTTTCTGATCTTCAACGAAAGTGGTCTCCGTCTCACCATGTCAAGCCCTACTCCTTCCACCGCTCCAAACGGCCGGTTCTCCAGAGTTTTCAGCGAATCGGACGAAACCCAGATCCTGAGATGTTTAATCAGAGCCACGAAATCCATTTCTCCACCAATCACCACCGTTGGTACCCCAACAATAAACCGCATCGTCAAGCATCTCAACTACAAGTTCACTCCTTCCCAAATCAACGACAAGCTCCGTAGACTGAGAGACAAGTACCACAAATATGCAAGAAACAGGTCCCTCGTAAGAACCCATCACGACCGAAGAATGTTCAAGCTCTCAAAAAGAATATGGGGCAAGAAAACAACCCCAAAGAAGATTGAGAAGGTGGAGGAGGGAGTGGAAACTGGGAAGGTAGATGGGGTTTGGAATTTGGAGAAATTCCCTTATTTGGTGGCTGAGTTTTCCAAGGTTTTGCCTGACAATGAGGTGTGGAAAGAGAGGATGAAGGGGTTCGAAGAGGAGGAGTTGAGGAAGATGGATCAGGAATGGGTATTTATAAAGGTTGAAGAAGCTAAACTGGTGGCTAAGAAGGCTGAGTTGATGCAGCATCAGATTTTGGAGATAATGGGTGATTCTGGGTCTGCTAATGGGGTTAATTAGTTTCTGATTTTTCTTTTAGTTGTAGTTTCATTGTACTTTTACTTTGATCTGTGTAATTAACTTCATTGTCTGGTTGGCTGTTGAGGGTAGAACTGCAAACTGATGAACAATTTTAGGATTTTAAGGTTAACAATGTGTTTTTTGTGCAGCCCATTAATCCAAATGTGTAAATGAAGCCGAAAGTATGAAACTTGGAATTGTTTTTAAGCTTTCATCTCTTATTTTTTAATCGTTTTTTTTGCTGTTTTAAGCTTCAGGTTTTGCCTCTTTTACGGGTAAACTATAGCAGCAGCATCTTTGGCTGATGGGAAAACTCTCAAAAGTGAAAATTTTGTGTAGTGTAGCTTGGTTAGTTTTGTTTGTTATCTTGTTAGACCCTTGTTAGATTTCCAGAACCAGTGTTTTACTGGTATTTGATTTTTTAATCTGATGGCCCTATTGTAGGGAGGATCATCCTCTTTTGAGAATTCGAACAAGAAAAAAAGGGCTTCACGATTAGCTTGACCTCACCTGAGAAGAGTTTTTTTTTTGGTTACAGAGAAGAGGATCTTTCTTATATTGGAGAAAGAGGGATTAAGGTCACACATGACACAGCTTCAATAACTTAAATAAATATACTGCTTATTTGTGCTTGTAAGTTGTAATCTTCACTTCAGTGTTCTGATTAGTATGAATTATGAATGATGAAATATTTTCAGTCAGATTATGAATCTTACAATCTAAAAGTACCTTGTCAATAGAGTCTAATATGATGCCTGTTACAAAGATTGCAATAGATAGATAAAGCCGGGTGACAGAAACCTAACTATTTTATATGTTGTTTGATAGTGGAACTTCCAAAAAATGACACAGCGGGTATATTAATCATCAAGCATAAGCAACAAAGGCAAAGTTCAAGGTAGAAAATCAGTCTAGTTCTATTCTTTTCGCGAGGAAAATATAGCATTTATCAATTATACCAACCTCTGCAACAGTAGCTGGGACAGAAAGCTAGGTTATACAAAGGTTCTACCTTGTTGGCAAGCGCACCTGAAAACTAATGGAAATTTGTTTAGTTTCTTTAAGGCTAATATTGTTATGTCCAGCCCATTAATGCTAATGCTGTTTCTGAAGCAGTTGTTTAAGCCTTCATTTGGTTTCCTTGTTCCTTTGTGGCCCCTTTTTGCTGTTTTAAGCTTGAAATGTTGCCCTCTTAATTTTATGGGTAAAACTTTAAGCATCAGACTGATTGAAAAAGTTGGGCCAGTAGGAAAAATCACAAACATGAGAAGTTTATGTTTTTTAGCCTACTGAATTTCCTTTGTTATCTTGTTGTACTCTTGTTATGTTTCCAGAATTATTGTGGTCTTGCAAACATGAATTTTTATGTGTTTCTCTTTACTAGTTTTCAGTTTTCACCACCTTTTTCCAGGAACCGCACTCCCTTCAGAATTCATACGAGAAAATTGGCCTTACCTTGAGGATCAGAAGCATTTGTTGTCATGTTCAGAGCTAGGGAATGTCACACAGAAATTTATTAACTCTATAAATAAATTGGTTATTTATTATTGTAATCTTCAAATTGGAGTTCAGATTAGCACTGAAATAAGTTGCGAGATAATGAATATTACTGCCTCAGAATAGTTTGTCAGTAAAAACTACTGGCGTTTGTATGATCTTTGTACTTTGAAACCAGAAACCAGACCATTCGAGATTATGCCCCAAACGAAGGCGATTGTATGATCTTTGTACTTTGAAAGTAAATAGAATAACAAAGGCGAATTCCAAGGAAGAAAATTGATAAGCAAACAGAAACAAGGAATTTATGAAGTAAGCAGCGTTCAGTACAATACGAGGGGATGAAATCCCAATAATATCTGCAATAGAGTCTCGCACAAAAAGTCGGTAACAGCTGGAGGTTTTCTCTTTTGTTGGCCAAAGCATCTGCAGCTCTCTCTGCTACCTTGGATCTGCAATCTTCAATGGGGAGCCAAGGCTAAGGGTGCAAGATAGTATTTAACTTCATTTTTTCCACTTTCAGGATTCAGTTTAAATTCGTCCATCCTGGCTGTGGTGAGTTGGTTCCCAAGTTCCACTCAAGGTGTGTAATTGAACCCTCTTTGGATTTGGCCCAAAAAACTCAATTCACTAGACTTGAGAGACAAGTAAGAATAGGGTCGGATAACTGTTCAAATATTCTTCCATGTGTGTGTTTCCAAAATTTCAAGTACCACAGGCAAACAAGGTAGCCTGCGGATGTTAAAGAAACGAGAGAGATGTATAAGTGAAGAACCTTACAATCAAGATAGGCCATATAGATACATTACCTGAATCCCGTGATTTCCAACGACAGAATAACTATATTAAGACACAACAAAACAGAATAAAGGGCAAAATCATGACAAAGTTCAATTACCATCTAAACTGTTGTCCGGATGCCAAGCATGCAATGACAACACAACAAATCAAAGAGTACCAAGCATGGGGTTTTTAAATAAATTTAAGAGATAATGTCACGTATGGCGTATGAATAATTGAGAAATATTAAATTTGAATTTTAAATTTTAAATATTTTTAATGTAATTTTTAAATTATAAATTTATTAATTAATGTTAGAATGTTATACGAGAATTATATTTCATCAATAAGAGTTAACGATGAGAGTCATATTAAAAATAAACTTTTAATTTAGATATTAAATAAAAAATTTTTAAAATTTAAATAATATATTGAATATGTTATTATAATTTTAAAATTATTTATGATATTAAATTTAATTTATTAGATTAATGGAGAAATAAAATTTTAAAATTTTATTTTTTAATTAATAGTTTGAACCTTAAACAAAATATGAAAATTTTAAACATAATATAAAAATAATAAATAAATAACATAATTTAAAATGTTAATAAAATAAGAAATATATTTTGATTGAACCACTACCAGTTGTTTTTACCTAATCGCGCCGCGCGTATGAAGTAAGGTTGAGACGGGAGTGCAAACTGTCATTTTACCAATAGACTTTTTTGGTCAAGTAAAAATTTCCAACTCTCACCACTTACCGGTCACCGGACAACACATTCAAGTCTCACCAGTCATTATATATATTAATAAAAATTATATTAATAAATGAAAAAATATATTTCAATTAAACCACTGCCAGTTCTTGTTTGAGTAACTGCGCCACGCGTATGGAATAAGGTGTCAATTTGGATAACACCCGAGTGCAAACCGTGTCATGTCTCATTTTTCCACTTGAAATTTTAGGGCAAGTAAAATTTCCTACAACTCGACACACCACGCATTTCTATTATATTCCCCCCCTTTTTTTTTTTCCTTAAAAGTATCCCTATCAATCATCATTCTGTTATTTGGTCCACGACGCGAGGGTTTTACAAATATAATAAGGTCACCATTATGATTTGGTAGGTAAATTATCACTTATTTTTGTTTTAATTTAATTTGACAAATATATTAAATGCCACAATAGCTGGCCTGGCTCATCAAATTACTATTTCTCTTACTAAAACTAAAGATATATTTTTTTAGCTCAATTAAAAAATAAAAGATTTGTCCATTGATCATGAATTTCCTCTGGTCTTGACGTCGGTTGGATTTTGTTTGCAAATTTTAACGACTTTAATCCAGCTTTGCTTAAATTATTTTTCAAAATAATATTAGGCCCTTTAAAAAGTTTTAGTTTTGAATTGAGGTTGAACAGAAAACTTTTAAATGTTTCAACAAGATATATGCTTCTAATTTTCTTTTTTTAACCATATATTTCAATAGCTATTTGACTTATCCTAAATTCTCTATCATCGTCAGTGTTTATTACAATATATGATTATCTTAATGTGGATTTTTTTAAACAAGAAACGAAAACACCAAGGGAAGGAACTTTGAACTTTCCTGCTTCCATCGATTGGCTTTTCTTATCACTACAAGAAAATAAAAAATTAATGATAATTTTGTAATAACGTTTCACTTACAAATATCGTTAGTTTTCATATTTTTATAAAATTTAATGTGTTTATTATTAGAACGTCACTGAATATTTAAATAATAGTATTGCTACCTATAAATGTTATTAAAGATAAAAATTAGTGATGTTTATCGATTAAACGTCTTGAATAATCATTTCTAAAAAATTAAAATGATTATTGAAGTTATTTTTTTTTATAAAAAATACTTTGAATAATCTTTTCAAAAAAATGGATAGAAAATTATTGGAGACATTTTTAGTAGATAACGCTTTAAATAATCCTCTCATAAAAAATAGAAGCAATTATTGAAGATTTTTTCTACAAAAAAATGCATTCAATAGTTCTCCTAAAAAATTGTAGAGGATTATTGAAGTGTCAATAATTCCCCTAAAAAATTGTAAAAAATTATTGAAGGTATTTTTGATCAAAAACACTTTCAATAAATCTCCTTGGCCAGAAACCTTTTCAATAATCCCTTAAAAAATCCAAAAAATATTGAAAAAAAGGATCAAACCTATAACCTTATGATTAATAATCATATACTTTAACTGATGACACTACTCTATTTTTGGTAAATTCATTAACAAAAAGATTTATTGAAGGCGTTTTTGATAAAAAAAATACTTTTAATAATCCTTTACAATTTTTTAAGAGAGTTATTGAAGGCGTTTTTAGCAAAAAATGCCTTCAATAATTGCTTCTATTTTTATTAGCAGATTATTCAAGGTATTTTTTACCTGAAACACCTTCAATAATCCCTCATAAAAAATTGAAAGGGATTATTGAAGGTATTTTTTAAAAACGCTTTTAATAATCCTCTCATAAAAAATAAAAAGAGATTATTTAAGGTATTTTTGGCCAAAAAATGCAATTAATAATCCCCTCTAAAAAATTGGAAGGGATTATTGAAGGCGTTTTTTGCCTGAAATGCCTTCAATAATCCACTCTAAAAAATTAAAAGGGATTATTGAATATGTTTTTGGACAAAAAATACTTTTAATAATCCTCTCTAAAAAATTAGATGAGATTATTAAATGCCTTCAATAATCTCTTCTAAAAAGTTTAAAAGGATTATTGAAGGCATTTTTTGCCTGAAACGCCTTCAATAATCCCTTTTTGCAAATAATGGTGTTTTTTTAAGTAAACGTCGCTGTTGTGAAAAAATGGCGTGGCTAAAATTTTTTTTCAAAATTAAAACCCTCTCTTTCTTCTCTGTAATTTCATTTTTTTCCCTAACTTTTTTCTTGAAAGAGAATGACAAAAAAGAAAATTCAAATCAAGAAGATTGACAACGTAGCAACGAGGCAAGTGACTTTCTAAAAAAAAGAGATGATGACTTTTCAAGAAAGCTCATAAGCTTTCCATTCTTTATGATGTTGAGATAGCTCTTCTAGTCTTTTTAGCCACTAGAAAGCTCTTTGAGTACTCCAGCACAAGGTTGCTCTCACTTATCTCATATCTATATGTGAATACTTTGCCTTGATTCTTGCTCTATCTCTGTTGGTTTAATATAGAAATCTTTGTCTGCTATTCGATTTAATGTGTTGAATGTGGTTGGGTGAGTGTGAGAGGAAGTGAGAAACATAATTGTTTTGAAAGAAGATCTTTCGAATCAATAGAACTATATAAAAATATAAATTCATGATAACTGAATATACTTGAATCTTGTATGCTATTACAAAAAGAACTTTTAATAATTTATTAGAAGTTTAGGGGTTTTAGGGCGGGAGGCCATGGTTTCACATGAATATCTGTATGATATTTGTTTATGCTTGTTTGTACTTTTTTGAACCTTATTTAAGCTAAATTTTATGACTAATCAGTTGTCTTATAAGAAATTTATGCTTTCCATATAACTTTGCTGGTGCAACTTAGAGCATAAACTGATATTTTACCTTTCATTTTTCTTGTCAGAACCTGATTTGCTATCATTTTTATTTTCTCTCCAACCAAACAGCTTTTAATTTCAATCTGCTTAATTGAATCTTGTTACAATTTTAGGTTTCCTACACTCTTTTTGAATGTTCTTTAAGGTTTTCATAATGAAATTTACAAATTCTCATGATTTTCTTATCAAATTTTGCAAAATTCACGTTGAACTCAAATCTGGTTTCAAAACTGCACACCTGACCTATCTTCAATCTTTTGATCAAAACTCAATGAATTCTAAGTTGATTTA